AAGTAATGCAACACAGAGTAACCTCTGTATTGGACAACTAAATTGTTCGACAAGGTTTTGCCATCCACATTCTGGTTTGGCTTGGCTTATCTTGAAAAAAGCATGAAATCTTGGTTTCTGCTTTTCACATTTAATAATTTAATAATTTCCTTGCTCATTTCAAAGAAGTTTATAAAGGGAGGGTAGATTTTTACCAAATCGTTTGAATATTTAAGAAAAATGTCACCAATGCTTTTGCTTTCATGCCAATTAGCCATAGTCTTCAAGGTCATCCTTCATTTTAGCGTGTGCATCAAAGATATCTGGGATGCTGCCAAAAATTGTCTTAATCTCTTCTGTTGCAAGGATAGGCCCACCATTTTGTCTTTCCTCTTCCACTGGTACCTGAAATAACTGAATAATTGTTGCCAGTATGTTTACACAGTTATTTTCCAATCTGATAGAGCCCTTTTGCAACTTGCTACCTGGATGACTGCTTTGAAGGAAGTGGAGTGAAATTTTTACAAGACATAGCACAAAACATTGGTGTTTCTCCACAGTTAATGCTACATTTTGATGTGTTAGAGATATGTGATTGTAATCCTATACAAAGGGAATGTTCAGCTGACAGGCACTCACAGGGAGAAAAAGGTGACATATCTGTTTTTCTTGAAAGCTGATCAGTATCTCTTTTGATCAACACCTTTTGCTAATGCTGTTTGGACTACTTAGAGAAAGCAGTGACAGGGGTGTTTGCCTCTTCATATAAATACATATTTTTTTTTCTGGCTCAGGCATCTATTTGAATGCTTCCCTAGAACCACACTTGCTTGCCAAAATAAAGCTTCTTCGAAGGTTCACTTGGAAGTTCTTTTACTATACTCTTTTCAACTATATGGTGAGTGCATCTTTCATCTCTTACCTCTTTGCATGTCAGTCATTTCTTCCATATAAATTTTCTCTTCATCTGAAAATCCCCAGAAAACTTAAAGCACAATCTTGAAATGGAGAAACTTTAAATTCATTTCTAAAGTCATTAATTACTGCATAGAAATCCTGTTCATTCTGCATTTTTCAAGCTTTATAATTTCATTCTGGCTTCATAATTGGAGTTCCCAGACCAATTTTTTTCCATTTATACACAATTTTGTACAATTTGCCACCAAATGTGTAACTTTTGAAGTCTTTTCTAATTACTCCACTCCTATGATGGACCAATATTACCCATCTAACTACTTCTTTCTTTCTGAGTCCAGTAAAGCACAGTACTGAATCCATCATACTTTTACAATACAATGGGTGACATGAAAATGACAAAGGCTCTCCTTTTTGTGATCAATGTAATAGAACTGGTGGTCCAGTAACTCCATGGTCAGTCTTGTATAAGGCATTAAAAACAGAGTCCTGGAAGGCCATGACTATGAATACATTTTTTAATTCTGGAGAATCTAAACCTTCAAATTATTCCATTGATCCTGTCTTTACAAAGTGTACTTTGATTTCCATATTAATAAATTTTTTGTTTCTGTTGCTCTAGGTAGAGTGCTGTGACAGCAACCTCAAACTTTTGGACTCAAGAGATCCTCTTGTCTCAGTCTCCCAACTAGCTGGGACTAGAGATGCCCACCACAATGCTTGGCTATTTTTTTTTTTTTTTTTTAGTAGAGACAGGCTCTCACTCTTGTTCAGGCTGGCCTCAAACTCCTGAGCTCAAGAAATCCCCCCTCCCTTGCCTTGGCCTCATAAAGTGCTATAATTATAGGGATAAGCAGTGCCTCGCCCTTAATAACATTTTTACTAATTTTTCACCCAACTTTCCAGAACAACTTTTATTTTAACAATGGGGACTTCCATTATGTTAATAGTCTTTAGGGATTTTATAAGTCCTTCTTTTCCAGCTGCTTGAATCAATTTCACTCTTGTTTCAATCTGAAGCATTTCTTCTTCAACATATGAAGCAGATCCAATTTCTTTGGAAGTTTAGTAACTTTAGAATAAAAAATGGATGAGTCTGCAAAGCTTGTCCTTCCAGGGGATGACAAGAAACTATTTCTAGCTAATGTTTCTACTCTTCTATGTTGGCGCTCTTACAAAAAAAAAAAAAAGCCCTGGGAGTCCAGCTCTTCAAACTCAGAGTCCTCTCACAGACACCACTATTCCTTACAATGTGATCACTCTTACTAAAAGCCATGCCAATTACACTGTGATTTTCTTCATGACATTATGCCCATAAACTTGGACTAACATGTATCTGATTTCACTTCTACTCTTGCCAACTTCAACAAGAAATTCACGAATGTTTGTTTTGTTGCACTAATTCAAGCTCCAACATTCTCTCAAGGGAACACAAATAAGTAATGAATGTTACTCATCAAAACACTGCCACACATTGACACAAACACAACTGTGAGTCACTGATATACCAAGGTTATGAAACATTACTGACTTGCTTGTACAGTGCTGCCAACATAAGGCAGGTTGGCAAATTTGCAAACTTAATTGTCAGACTTCGTATGTATATGATTTAAAATTTTTCATGTATAAAAGAGAGATACTCTGCAATAAATGTTAGGGGGAAAATCTTGTTTTGTTAGATGAGACCTATGGCAGCAGCAAGGATACATGGCTATAAGGGTGGTAAATTCTTAATCTTATATAGCAGCGGTTTTCAACCTGTGGGTCAGGTTGAACTGTATTAAAGGGCCGCAACATTAGGAAGGTTGAGAACAACTCTTATGTAGAATATAACAATACGTAATGTCTATGATCAAAATTCAAAATTCTTTATAATAACTTCATTGTAAAATAGGCTTTCCCCCCCAACTATAGGCTAACATAAGTGTTCAGGGCACATTTAAGGTAGTCTGTGCTAACTTATAATGGTCAGTAGCTTAGGTATATTAAATGCATTTTTTTACTTAAAATATTTTCAACTTAATAATGGCTGTATTAAGACATAATCCCACAGTTTAAGTCAAGGAACACCTGTATGGCTCATACTTTTGGAAGCTAGAAGACTAAGATCAAGGCTCAGGCAGATTTGGTATTTGGTGATAGCCAGTTTCCTCACAGCCAGTGCCTTTAGCCTGGCAAGGTGGAAAGGGCAAAGCAGTCTCATTTACAAGGCACTAATGGCATTTATTAGGGCTCCACCCTCATGACCTAGTTACTTCCCTAAAGCCCCACCTCCTACTGTAACACTTTGGGTGTTCAACACATTGATTTGATGGGCACAAACATTCAGACTATAGCATCTGCCTAAGTAAGAAAAAATATTTTGAGCCAATGGGACAGAATCTTTTCCTTTTCCATCAGGGCCTCTGAAAGAGTGAAGCCAATAAACAGGGAAATAAGCTCCTTACTTTTGAAGCAGCTGCTTCTGGGATCGAGGAATCACTGAAAAGTAGATTTAATTTTGATAGGCAAGAGTTGGGAAAGATGCTAGGGGTCAGAGTTGAGACAGAAGTTGTTATGATTGGCATTTTATACAATAAATGAAGTCAACATTTTGATACCAATCCTCTTCATTCATTTCTTCCCTAGATAGGAAAAGCAGGGACTCAGATCCTGCTGAGCAGTGGTCCAAGAGACATCATTATCATCTCTTCTGCTATATCTGTTCATAGGGGAGAGATGTTCAGATTGCAAGAATTGTCTACAGGAGCATGGAAACAAGTGCTGATGGTCCAAATGCAAGCAATCAAAGGGAAATTTATCCCAAGCTTACAATAGCAAGGGAGTCAGCCACCATCACTTGCAAGACTCAAAAAATGTAGAAGAGTGGAGAAGCTTTATAATGGAAGAAAGGGAAGCCTTCAGATATGTCCTGATTGGAGGCTGTTGGCATGGAGAAGCTGTAGGAGGACTCATCATTTAAGAGAAGCAGGGCATCCTAAGTAATTATTCAGTGGTGGGTGCATATTTGGCTTTCTCTAGTTAATGTTAAGTTGGAAGTGGAGACAAAATGTGGGGAAGCTGTCTGTTATTAATCAAGTCCTGGTCACTTGGGGTAGATTAGTACCAGGTTATTGTTTGGCTTCCTGGACTTGTTACTACATATAGTAGTCTGGCTTCTTGGGCTGGTTACTGTGTCTAGTAGGTTTGATTCCTGGGCTGGTTGCTGGAGGTTGTAGGTTAGCATTCTATTTGTATATATAGTCTGACCACTGTCTGTATAAGCAGTGTCTAAGGCGGAAGAAGGAGACAGAAAATAAGAAATGAACAAGGTGGCCAGGTGATTAAGGCAAGAAAACTACTCTGCCAATGCTGCAATAGCCATATACAGATTTCCTTTGTCAAGCTTTTCTTTCCTTCTCAGTCACACATACCCACAGTTAAATAATCCCTTCTCTCCTGTTCATTTTTTAACTATTGAACTTAGGAAATATAGCAGTCTGTCATCACATTCCCTCCAAACACATGGTAAATTCCTTCGTGTGTCATTTATTGTATATGGCCTGTTCCTACATTGCATCTGGATACAGTCTACTTTCAATACTCTTTGTTGAGCTCTGGGGTAGATTTACAGGGCTGTATGTGTTACAATTTAAAGTACTTTATCTGAAATTATTCATCTAATATATCGATGACTATATTTTCGTCAAACATCCACAGGTATTATAAAACCCAAAACTATAAATAAATAACATATTAGAAACCATGAAAGAAAATCAACAGAGCATATGGTAAGAAGATATTGAGCCTGAGGAAAGCGAGAGTTTCTCTATAAATCCACAAGGCTGAAATTTTTACCAGTTACTTTCTCTGTTGTATCGCCGATACTTTATCTAAAACGGTTCCTGGTACGGATCAAATCCTCAGAAGTGAATGAATGAGAGACCGCTCACTGGCATACGGAAGGGTATCGGCCTCGCCTTAACAGACATCCCCCTACACTCAAGGAGTCAGGCGCAGGCGCGGGCTCAGGCTCCTCCCTCGGTGGGTGGGGCTAGGAAACAGCACGGCTCTAAGCCCTTCGGCCAGTCTGCGCGGCCACGCCTCTGCCGCCGCCGTTGCTTGCAAGGGCTTCTGGGAGCCGAGCTTCGGGGTCTAGGGTAAGGGGCTCAGGTGGCCGCCATCTTGGGTTGGGAACGGGGTCGCTACGGAGTGGCGGCCCCTCTGTTACCTACGTCGCCGCTGGAGACTGGAAAGTCTGGGCACTGGAGCGTACCACATTAATGGGTAAGTGGTAGTAACACAATCCAGGTTGAGAGAACGTCTGGTTTGGACCCTGTGTCAGCTACTAGCGTCTGGGGGAAGGGAAACTATTTTTATTTACCCCTTACTTTGCGAAGCGTTCAGGACCTGGCCTCGCCTGGTGGCTTTCATATTTCTCTTGGGGCGACAGCGGTCGTGGGGGCGTGGCAGCCGGACCTTTGCCTTGCAGACGCGAAGGCGCCGAGAGTGCCTGTCGCTCAGACTGCTACGCTGTGTTCTAAGGCGCTAAAGCAGCCCATCTCATCCTCTCGCCGTTCTGCCTCACTGGTTCTTCGTAGTTCTTTTTCCTAAAGTGTCTTGCCAGAAGTTGCCACACACTCCTGATACCCAGCGGCTGTCGGTGTCCAACAGCTTATGAAATTACTCACTGCCCAGAGAAGGGGCGGGTTCCATTGCAGGGGCCTGCTGGCCGCACCCTCCACCTCCGCCGGCTGCCCTCCTCCACCTGCTTGCAGGTGCTTCCGAGTGCTCGGCCCGGACTCTGCCAAGCCGAAGTTCGACGGTTCTAGCAGCTTTGTTCCAAAACGAACACGTAATAATGTTTCAGCGGTGAGGCGTTAAGAGATGAAAGGATTTGAAAGCCATGAAATGGCATGGTAGTACTTCAAAAGAATATGTCACTGGCATTTACTTTTGAGGTTTTTAGGTACACTAAAGTAAAAGACAAAAAAGACTGATGACTTGTCTGTCAGTTACAACACTCAATAATGACATATTCTGTACGATTTTTTTTTATAAGTAAGAATAAACTATCCTTAAGACCTAGGTACTGCTTATTTGGTTATAGAGGCTCTAGTCGTCACTTTCTTCTTTGTTCAGTCTTGTAATTTTGGTAATGAGGCACCCACACCCGTAGAGATAAAGGCTTTACTGTTATAAGAAATATTGTTAATAGGTAGTAAAAAATTCTAGTTATGTGCCCGGTTTTAACACAAGTTTTCTAAAAGCTGGGTTTGTGAGTGGAAAAGGAATTGTTCAATATCTTTACAGTGTTTGAATAGCATTTCTTATATTTAAAATAATTTATGAGACACCAGTCTTTGATGTAAACTTATTTTCCAGTCAACAAAACAATCTTGTGGGATTACACACCTTCAGAGATAATTTTTCCCGGCCATAATGTTTCCTTAAAGGAACTGAAGTGAGGATGCAGGTGTTATATAAAAAGCAGAAAGTTAGTACTATAGAAGAAAAGGGAACAAGTGATATATGAGTTGTTTGGGCTACATTTCATTTGGTTAACAAATTTATATTGAACCATTTTAATGTACATGCCTGGATTAATGGTGTCAGACATATTGTCTAGTGTGTGTGTGGCAGGGGAGGGAAGAAAATAATTAGAACTTCTATTTACCTTTAAACCTATTCTATTTGTAAAATGTTAATTTTTTTGAATTTTTATAATAGAGTAGTATATATTAAGGTAGTATTAATAATACACATATAGTATTTAAGTTTTACTAGCACTAAACATAGGCCACTCAATATATACTGAGGATGAGTGCACAAATATATTTTATATACATATTTAACATACATAATTTACCCAAATATATTTTAGGTGCATTTTGATATGTGATCAAAAAAGTGTAGAGGCCTATAGAAAATGCCACAAATAGGGTGATAAGAGGTCTATTTCCATGAAACATTTCACTTAACTAACATATTTTATTCTTACTGAACATAATTTAGCAATTAATGTTGAGGCCCAGTTTGTTCTGTAATCAACTCTGATCTCTCTTGTCTTTTTCCCCAAGAGCTTAAGCTCTTAGTAATGAGATAGGATTTTTATGTATAATTAGAGAATAATGATAAACATAATTATTAATAAAGTTATATCAAACATTTCTAACAACTGTTTGTAGGGGCACACGGTATTGCTGAAATCCGTTAAATATTTTAAAGAGGGATTTTAGTCAATTATAAATGCATTTTAATTACCAGAATGTACAGGTGTTAACTTTACAGGCTTAGAGTACCTATTAAATCATTCTGAAATCCTTAGCTCATTCCATTCTATATTTAGCTCCTCTGCTAGTGAAATTTATCTCACTGTCTTTACCAGTGACCTAATTATCGAATCTAAGACCTTGTATGGTACTTGGCTTGTTGTAGGCACTTAGGTTTGCTGGATGAATCAATGAATGAGTAAATTGAGTGTTTAGTGCTACTACAACTTAAATATTCTTTAGTATCTTTTGAACTCCCTTCTTTTCTAAGACTCTTTATTTTTTTCTGATTCTCCTACTTCTCTGATGTATTTTTTTCTCTTGCCTTTGTCCACTAAAATATAAGTATCGTCAAGATTCTCTTTTGATTATCTTTGTTTTGTAGCTCTATAAGCAGTCGTACTCCTGTTCTGAGTTCTGATCCATATTTTTAACCATCTATAAATCAGAGCCTCCCATGTGTACCCTGAATACTATAAATTTAACATGTTTAAAACTAAAGTCCTTATACATCTATTAAAATGGCTACAATTACCAACAACATAAATCTTGACAATACTAAGTAGAGACAGGATACAAAGCATCTGGAACTCTCATATATTGCTCATGTGAGTGCAGGATGTTGCAGTCAATTGGAAAGCAGTGACAGTTTCTAATAAAGTGAACATATCTGGTCTGAAGTATGACAATAAAGTTTATGAACTTGTCACTATGCACTTATGGTGATAGCACAGTCATCTCTGTAAGGTTTCATAACTTCATATATTAGTGTCTCACATCTGTATGGCAGTATCTTGCTTTTGTCAACCAAAAGTGACATTCATTATTGTGGTTGTGTTTCCCTGTGCTGTTGTGAGAATGTTGGAGCTTGAATCAGAGCAGTGAAACAAACATTTGTAAATTTCTTGTTAAACTTAGCGGGAGGATAAATGAAATCAAGGACAGGTTAGTCCAAGTTTGTGGGGCTAATGCCCTGAATAAAACAGTGGTGTTCAAATGGATACATTTTTTTCTGAGGTGAGACAAAGCGTCACTAATGAAGAGAGGTCAGAGAGGTCAATAACAAGCAGAACTGATGAAAACTTTGCACAAATTGGTTGAATTGTGTGTCGCAATCATTGGCTGACTGTGAGAAGCATAGCAGACCAAGCAGACATCAATAGAGAAAAATTGAAAATCTTAACTGAAAATCTTGAGGTGAGAAAGGTGTGCCTCTTGCATCATGACAGTGTACCAGTTCACATGGCATTCTGTAAGGTAGTTTTTAGCCAGTGAACAAATAACTATATTCGAACACCCTTCCCCCCATCTGGCCCCTAATGATGTTTTCTTTAATTGAAGATAAAAGGAAATATTGAAAGGGAGACAGTTTGATGACATTCAGGACATCAAGGATGATACAACGACAGCTCTGATGATCATTGTAGAAAAAGATTTCCAAAAATGCTTTAAAGGATGGACTAGGTGCTGGCATCGGTGCATAGCTTGTCAAGGGGCAGTACTTTGAAAGTGACCACAGTGATATTCTACAGTGAGGTATGTAGCAGGTTTGTTTTTTTTTTTTTGAGAACGGAGCCTCAAGCTATCCCCCTGGGTAGAGTGCCATGGCATCACACTCACAGCAACCTCCAACTCCTGGGCTCAAGCGAGTCTCCTGCCTCAGCCTCCCAAGTAGCTGGGACTACAGGCGCCCGCCACAATACCTGGCCATTTTTTGGTTGCAGCCATTATTGTTGTTTGGCGGGCCCGGGCTGGGGATTCAAACCCGCCACCTTAGGTGTATGTGGCTGGCGCCTTAGCCGCTTGAGCCACAGGCGCCGAGCCTGTAGCAGTTTTTTTATGATAAGTTTGTGAACTTAATCGTCAGACCTCATACCATACTATCTGTCAGTCCTACTTCTAAATATTTACCTAAGAGAAATGAACACTTATGTTTTCACAAACACCTATATAGATATGTACATAAATGTTTATGGTAAATGTGTTTGTAACCACCCCAAGATGAAGACCACCCAAATATTTTTCAACTGGATGAACTGGGGTATTCCCATACAGTGGAATACTATTCAGCAGTAAGACAAGCGATTGATAGATGTCAGCAACATGGATGATTCTCAAATACTGCAGATTCAAAAGACTACTCTATGATTCCATTTATGTGAAATTCAGCAAAAGGCAGAACAGTAGGAATGGAGAACAAATCAGTGGTTGCCATGTGTTAAAGGAAGGGGCTGCCAGTAGGAGAAGCACAAAGGAGTTTTCTGGACATGAAGGAACAGTTGTATGTCTTGATTGTGATGGTTGCATTTATTAAATTTATAGAACTGTATACTAAAAGAGTGATTTTTACTGAATGTAAATTAAAAAATAAACTTAACTAAATTCACCATTATTCTCTCAGAAACAAGCCAGCAGGCAAACAGAATAACCACTGCTCTCATCTTCTGGCTGTGTTACCTGTCTTGAGTATTTGAAAATACTGAAATAGCTTAAGTTAAGCTAAAAGTCATGGAGTTATCCTACTTCCCCTTTCTTCCTATCACATATCTTTTACATTCATTTGACCTCTAATTCTCAATGAATTAACTTCAGAAATGTTTCTGGAATCCATCCTGTCTTCTATATTTCCAGTGTAGCTACTTACTTAGTTCAAGTTTTCATTATCTCTCTTATTACTCAGTAGACAATTTGAAACAGGTTTGTCCTTCATTTCTTTAATTCTGTTCCTTAGGATTAAGCCCAAATTTCTGAAATGGGTTATTGGAACCATATGTGTTCTTACTTATCTTTATAGCTTTATTTCTTGACCCTCTTGTTCAGGTGCATTGAATTTCTTACTGTTCTTTGGTTATGTCAGACTTCTTTAAAAACTTTGCATGTACAGTAGAATCTTTGTAAGTTGACCACCCAAGGGACTGTAACAAACTGGTTAATATATAGAGATGGTCAACATATTGTACTATTGTACTGATACATACATGTGGTGCATGTCCAGAGTTGAAAATTAGGTTAATTGGAGGTGGTCAGTGTAAGGAGGTGGTCAGCTATGAAGGCTCTACTGTTTTTCCACTGCTTAAAATGATTGTTTCTTCCCATTTCTCTTTCCATTTTCTTCCCTGGCAAATTCCTTCTTATCCTTTAACATAAAATAACTGAAGTTTGTAGAGCTCTCTGCGGCTCAGGTACTCAGTTGCCATGTCTTCTATGTCCTCACAGGACTTAATGAGTATGTTTTATTGAATTATACAATAAAATACAATTTTATTGTATTTATTTTTAATGTACTTAATGCATTTTTAATGTATTTATTTTTATTGTATTTTACAATAAAATACAATAAAATTTGGCAACTCATTAATTTATTTCTTCTAAATCAGCCATGGCAGATAGAAACCAACCTTTTGTGTTTACTTCATAAGTTAATTGATCACAGTATTGTCCCTTGTTGGATATGGTTATGTCCTCCGAATTTATTAGACTAACATACTAGATACTTATCTCTCATGTTAAATTCGAATAGAAATCCTTCTTTAGACTGATTGCTTTTTCTTGATACATAAATCTAGAACACATTGTAATATCACTGCTTTGGTATTAATATCAAATAATATAAAAATACCCATGGTGGTAATTATTTAAAAGTTTATAATTTACTTTCTAAAAGTAAAACTAAAGACTAGGCATGGTGGCTCACCTCTGTAACCCCAGCACTCAGGGAGGCTGTGGTGGCAGATTGCTTGAGCTCACAGGTTCAAGACCAGCCTGAGCTAGAGCTAGACCTCATCTCTAATAATAGCTGGGCATTGTGGTGGGTGCCTGTCGTCAGATCTACTTGGGAGGCTGAGGCAAGAGAATCACTTGAGCCTAAGATTTTCAGGTTGTTGTGAGCTGTGATGCCACGGCACTCTACCCAGGGCAGCAGCTTGAAAAAGTAAAAGTAATACATGAATTTCAAATGTAAAATTGTATATTTATATACAGTATTTTATATATATACTTAAAATGTTTGCATAAATGTTAATATTTTAAAATATATTTATAATAGAACTATCTAAAAATAAAGTATACATGTACTTTAGTATTTGAAAATAACTATAACAGAGTACTGAAAACTGGTATTGCAGTCATAATTGAAGCCATGATCCTTGTGGCATAGTTCTAAAGACAGTACCTTAAATGAAAGAAGCCAGACCCAAATGAATATTTGAGGTATATTTATTGAAGCCTAGTACCATATTTAAAAATGAGAAACTTTAAAAGATTTTAAAAATGAGATACCTCTCTGCTGGTTGTTTTCTGACTGACAGTCATTATAAGATACTTCAGAAAGGTTAAAATATTGTGGGTGGATAGAGGGGTGGGGAAGGTTGGTGTACCTTAGAATCAGTAAAATAGGGTAATAACTTTGTGTTTAAACCAGAAATATTCATTTAATATGTTATTTCTAAAATATTTGGACATTTTGCTCCATTCTTGATATGAGAGTTGTTTCTAGAAATGTAATTATGACTTGTCATCTTCCTATCTATAGTATCCAGCAGTTACTCTTTGTACATAATTTTCAGAATGGGTTTTGTTGGTCAGTTTAATCAGAGAAGCTGGATTTAGTTGTCCTATAGTAAATATCTTGCATTGTTTTGAGAGTTATCAGTCTATTTTCTTCTCTCCTTCCCTTAAGATGCCATGGCTAGTCCAGGAAAGGATAACTATAGAATGAAAAGTTATAAGAATAAAGCCCTGAATCCTCAAGAGATGCGTAGACGCAGAGAAGAAGAAGGAATACAGCTTCGAAAACAAAAAAGGGAAGAACAGGTAGGTGTTTTTAAGTATTTAATTTTGTTTAACAAAAAAAAAAAGTATATAGGGATCTTAGATGTTTAATAATTATTGCTAATTTTTAGATAATTTTAAGTGGAAAATTAGGAAATTAAATATAGCTACATCTATTCTGTATTAAATTCCAGGTATAATATAATTGCAGAGTCATGAATCTGAATCCTTTGCTATTTTTAGTCACTGAGAAGTGTGGTTTTTCTGATTTATTAATGAACCTTTAATATAATCATAGTTCTACCTCAGAGCAAAGAAATTTTTATTCTTAAATCTGTTTAGATTGTTTCTATTTGTCATTATAAAATTTGCCTCCTAAAAAATATGAATTATATTTATGTGCTATTTTATGGTTTTCATAGCTCTTGCCCCTAAGTTAATTGTAGTCATCTTCCAATGCTACTCATACTGTTCCTCCTGTAATCAGCCATATCTTTTAGCCTTCCCTGTTTATACATTGCACATATGACATAAAGAATAGAAAAATCAGGCTTGGTGCCTGTGACTTAAGTGGCTAAGGCGCCAGCCACATACACCTGAGCTGGTGGGTTCGAATCCAGCCCAGACCCGCCAAACAATAATGACAGCTGCAACCAAAAAACAGCCGGGCATTGTGGTGGGCGCCTGTAGTCCCAGCTACTTGGGAGGCGGAGGCAGGAGAATCACCTGAGCCCAGGAGTTGGAGGTTGCTGTGAGCTGTGATGCTACGGCACTCTGGCACTCTACCCAGGGGGACAGCTTGAGGCTCTGCCTCAAAAAAAAAAAAAGAATAGAAAATCGTTTAAGAGTACATCTCAACATTTTTCATTCCAAGATATCCGTGAATTTAGGAGTATTTATAAATAGGAGCGTTTGATGCTTACATATACAAATTAAAACTGATGTGTGAAAAGGACTAGCAACAAAGCAAGTAGGTGTGCTTCAGAAATGTAATTATGACTTGTCATCTTCCTGTCGATAGTATCCAGCACAGTCCTTAATCTAGTATAATAGATACTGAAAACAAATCTTGTTGAATAATTAGGAGAAGTATGTACAGATTGAAGAAAAGAAGTATTTATTTAACTATTTAAAATAATATCGCCTGATGTTTTTCCTTAAATTTGGATCTAGGAAATATGTAGTCATCCTTTGGTATCCATAGGGTAGATGGTCCCAGGACCCCTGGGTTACCAAATTTAGTATATTTGGTTACCAAAATTTGTTAATGTTCAAGTCCCTTCTTTAAAATGGCTAGTATTTGCATATGACCTGCACACATTCTCCTGTATACTTTAAATTATCTCTAGATTATTTTTAATACTTAATACAGGATAAATGCTATGTAGGTGAGTTATACTATATTGTGTTTATTTGTTTTTTAAATTGTTATATATACATATATATACATACACATACATACACACATATATTTTAAATAAAGAGGGTCTTGGAGTGTTTCTCAGGCTGGCCTCAAACTCCTGGGCTCAAGTGATCCTCCCATCTTAGCCTCCCAAGTAATTGGGCCTACAAAGCTTGTGCTACCATGCTTGGCTTATTATTTTTTGTTGTTTTTATTTCTCAAATATTCTATGATCTGAGGTTGGTTGAATCTTGGGATACAGAACTGACAGATAAAGAGATTCAGCTATACCTATAAATCTTCATTAGTAACCTTACCTCATTTCCTTGCTCTTTTTTTCCTTTAATTTTTATCTATTCCTGAGATAATAAGCATAGGGCTGTCTTTCTTGAGGATTCTTTTCTATCTCTTGCTAAACATATCTTATTTAATACTAACTCTTAATATACCACGTTCGCTCTCCTATGTTAACAGATTTGCTTTTTTTTGAGACAGAGCCTCAAGCGGTTGCCTTGGGTAGAGTGCGGTGGGATCACAGCTCACAGCAACCTCCAACTCTTGAGCTTAAGTGATTCTCCTGCCTCTGCCTCCCAAGTAGCTGAGACTACAGGCCCCTGCCACAATGCCTGGCTATTTTTTGGTTGCAGCCATCTTTGTTATTTGGCAGGCCTGGGCTGGATTCCAACCGCCAGCTTAGGTGTAAGTGGCTGACGCCTTAGCCACTTGAGCCACAGGCACCGAACCACAGATTTGCTTTTTAATTAAGATTTTCTTAGAAAAATTCTTAGACCTTTCATAATCTGGTGTGGGAATATATGCATTTTCAAATGTTGTAAAATGTAAATGTGTGGCTGGCCATTGGTAAAAGACAAGGGATTGAAAATGATCCAAAGGAGTCTGCGCAGGACAAAAACTAGCCTAGCCTGGAAAGTTTTGAGTTTTCATAAATAGTTTAGATCTGCCTGGAATAATGATTGGGAAGTACAAAAATATTCAGAATTTTAAATTATAAAATTACTACTTTCTTGTGTCAATGGAATTTTATGGCAATTGGATGTTTTATGGATTGATTTAATGTGTAAACTGATTTCTCTTTTTTGCAGTTGTTCAAACGCAGAAATGTCTCTTTACCCAGAAATGATGAGTCTATGCTAGAAAGTCCAATACAAGATCCGGATATCAGTTCCACTGTACCCATTCCAGAGGTATATTTTACAAAAATAGTTTTCAAATTATACCTCAACAATATTTCAGTGATATTATATACACCAAATATTATTCATACAAAATATTTTCATGTTAATTATGTTTTGTGTGTTTTAGGAAGAAGTCATTACTACAGATATGGTTCAGATGATTTTTTCTAATAATGTTGATCAACAGCTAACAGCAACACAGAAATTTAGAAAGCTGCTTTCTAAAGGCAAGAATTCTTTTCAATGTGCTTATTTGATATTGTTATGGAATTTTGAGCTTTATTTTATTAGGTATTTTTTATTTTAAGATACTTTTCTTTGCCAAACACAGTAGGTATTATTTCACTTTAAAAATATATTTTAAAATAACATCCATTTTTGTTCATTGTGTCATCAAAGTAACACATATTGATTGAAGAAAAATTGTAAATATAGAAGAATTTGAAGAAGCAAATATGAAAATCATTAATTTTGCTGCCAAGAAATAAAGTTAGAGATGTACATTTTTAAATTCTTGTAAAAATATTTTTCTGACATGAGCATTCTAAATGGAACCATAACATTACAGACTCTGGATACAAAATAATGATTCAATTTGGCATTTCATTTTTTCTATCATAAGCAGTGTTGAGACAATTGTATAATCTAAAACTTCCTTAATGTACTCACAAAGGTGAAAAAGAGAGTCAAAGAGAATAAACTATATTAATTTATACTCCTGTCTTCAGTTTGTACAAGTATTTATTTCATTGTATTTTTACCAACACTCACAATTATCTTTAAGAAACAAATGCTCATGTAATAGTAGCTTATTATATGGTTTAGGTTTTTTTTTTTTTTTTTTTTGGTAATTAAGTTGAATAGTTTTCCTTATTTATTGACTATGTAATTCATAATTGCTTGTCTGTTTTGTTCAATTTTATACTGAGTTTATAAGAATTTATTAGATAAAAATTTAAATCTTTATCTTGTACTTCATATATGGAGTTTATGTAATTAGAAATTCTAAGTATATGGAATTGCATATATGAACTGCTGAGATTTTTGCCATGCCCTTGGCTCGGGTGCCTTATCTTCCTAAGAGACACAGAATTTGGTAGCTTATGAAGAATGAAAGAAATCTGGTCATTGTGTCAGCATAAATTACAAGGCTTTTATCTTTGCTTTCTTTTTGTAGATCATGTTTATATAATAAATACGTAACTTTTGTTTTCAGTTCTTTACATCTCAAGATAAAGTAGCATAGCAGTGGTAAGAAATCTTTATATAATCAAGAATGGCTTCTCTCTTCCTAATCAAATCTCACAGTTTCTGATTTTTGTAATTGGGGTTATTTTCTGGTTCAAATTAATATTTTAAATTGTTTTTTACATTGTTGTATTCTCTTTCGTGATTTTTTTTGATACGTATTTCAAAACCAGTTAATTCATGTAAGAGTTTGGCAGGAGTGATTTTATATCACAACTTCATTATTTAATTCTTTATTTTGATTAATCTTTTGTTAAAGTAGAGCATTGCTTGAAGGATTCTCTTCTCCCAATGCAAATTGCCCTGAAACAGTTTCTTTTAAGACTTCACCTGTCCAAATAATATATGTCTGATATCTTTGAGCAAGTTCTCTGGGCTTAGAATTCTTTGATTAGAAGATTTTATATGCTCTAATTCCTCAAGATATTGTCTCTGTTAAACAGTTGTCTCTTTTTAAAAAAAAAATATTTTTCCTTTTAGAGACAAGGTCTCATTCTGTTGCCCAGGCAGGAGTGCAGTGGCGCAATAATAATCAACCTTGAAACTCCTGGGCTTAAATGGTCCTCTTGCATCAGCATATTGAGTAACTGGGATTACAGGTGTGCCTCACCATGCCTGGCTAATTACAAAAAAAAAAAAAAAATTCTTTTTTGTAGAAACAGGGTCTTGCTCTACTGAGGCTGGTCTCAAAACTCCTGGCCTCAAGTAATCCTGTGTTGACACTACAAGATTATAGGGATTATAGGCATGAGCCACTGTGCCCAGCCTATCTTCTTTATAGATATAATCGTATTTTCTGCTTTTTCTTTGTAATGGAATTACAAAGGTTGGGCGTACAGCAGGAGTTATAGACGCTTCCTTTTACTAATTGATATGAGTTCCTGCCAAATATATTAGGCCCAGAAAGTAAACTGTATTTTTATTTAATCTATCAATGTACAAAACATGGAAAAACAGCTAGAACTAGAACTGGAAATAGAAATAGCAAGAAACTTTGCCTCTTTCCCTAGCATTTTCTTTTTGTAATTAATGTTCTTGCTGTTGACAGTAGAGCTATAAATAATATCCTTGGCTACTCCACAGTCTACCTACTTCAGCCTGTACTCCTCTGACTTGTGTATGATGGTGATCTTTTGCTGTCTCTGCTTTTTATTTCCCTATCGTGGCTACTCTTTTGGATGTAAATCGCTAGTCATATTTTTCTTAAGTCCCAGTTTTGTAGAAATTTCTTCAAAGCTTTTTTGTTTCTCATGATTCTCCCTTAGTTTTAGGTGCTGAAGCAGATCCCCTATTTTGCTTATTACCATGACTGAAAGTCTTTGCCATGACTGAAGGTATTCTCCATAATAAAATAATTCATCACTTTTATAAGATTATATAGACAGGGCGGCGCTGTGGCTCAAAGGAGTAGGGCGCCAGCCCCATATGCTGGAGGTGGTGGATTCAAACCTAGCGCCCTGGCCAAAAAAATCCAAAAAAAAAGAAATTGTATGGACCATTATTGTTCTATCAATGAATACCAATAATAGTTAATGACACCACATGAACTGATGATTTAAGTGTACTTTAATTGCTTTCTTTTAAATGAAGGTAAGCATAAATGAGTTGCTTTTACGTCTCCAAGAAGTGACTATATTTGTGGGGTTTTTTTTGTTTGTTTGAGACAGAGTTTCATTTGTTGCCCTCAATAGAGTGCTGTGGTGTCACAGCTCATAGCAACCTCAAACTCTTAGGCTCAAGAGATTCCCTTGTCTCAGCCTCTCAAGTATCTGGGACTATAGATGCCTGCCACAACACCTGGCTATTTTTTTTTTTTTAGAGACGAGGTTTCACTCTGGCTCAGGCTGGTCTTGAACCTGTGAGCTCAGGCAATCCATCCACCTCGGCCTCCCAGAGTGCTAGGATTACAGGTATGAGCCACCACTGCCTGGCTAGTTGTGTTTTTACATGTAGGTATATGTCAGATCTATATCTGTATTTACCTGCATTTATAGATACAGTTGATGATCTTAGTACTCATTTTTCCCTACCCTAATCATGAAGCCTTATTTTTTTTCCTATTCTCATTCTCACCTTACACAGTAAGACAAAATTTCTATCCCTTAAATTAAAAGAAAATTTAAAAGAAGATAGTACATTTGGTATTTTCTATGGAAATAAAAAACATGGTGAAAGTAGTAATTGCAACCCTCTAATTTTGTTTTGATTTTTTTAAAGGTGGAAAGTAAAAGAATTAAGTTTATTGTTTTATCCTATTGATACTTTATAACTTTATAATGGCAGTATAAGCTAGGTTCTGTATTAACATTTGCAAAATCTGTACTCTTTATTTAGAACACCCAAATAAAACTTTAAGGGCATGGCTTTACTAATTTTGCAGAAACTTCCTATTTTTGATCAGGTTTGAAAAATAGCCAATTTGTAGAAAAATGAAGGAAAGGAAAAAATAAGTTGTTTGTTAAGTAAACCATTTTTAACAATTGAGAACATGGTTTCTAGGATTTCATCTGACTTAAAACTTAATGAAAATATTTTTCTGTGTTATAAAGAGGGGTTCAGAAATTTTATGGCTATCTTTGCTTATTCATCCTACTCATTGAATACAACGTATTAGCATTTCTGTAAGTTATTTATGATCAGTGCCAGTCAAATAGAGGAAGTAAGAAAAAGGAAGAGTCAAAAGTGGAAATGAGAATTCTCTTTTGTGTGAGTATATAGGTAACTCAGTAATAGATAGATTTAGGTGATAGATACAGGGCAAGATGAACAAGTAAACACAGTGATATAGTAAGTTGGTTTTGGTTATGGTACAGTTTTAAAGAAGGTGTGTATATAAAAATGTATCAGATAGACGCTTAGAAAAATGGACGGAAATCGATGAGAGAAGAATTCAATTAAGGAGGTTAGATTTGTGAATTATCACAGATGATAATGATAAGTGATATGTGAATAAATAGGTAAATTTTCTAAGAAAATAAACAGGAATAAGTCTAACTTAAAGGAACACCATCAGAGAAGTCACTGAAGAACTACAGAGGATACTTTTTGCTGAAGCCAAGGTAGAAGAAAGAGTTCTTTATACTTAGATGGACAGTACCTGAAGTATCTTTCTTTGAATTTTACATGAGTTTCCAAGAGATCTTATAATTTTCAAGAGCCCTGTGCATTTTATGAAAATTTATTAACAATTATAGATATTCTAATAGCATTTCTATAAATAATAATACAAAACAATCTCATGTGGCTGCGAGATAGCAGGCAAGGCATGGTTGATAGTGAAGGAGATATCCTTAGAAATTGAGAGTAGTATTATTATATGAAGAACTAGTGGATACTTTATTGTTCAGTTGGTGTTTTAAGTATTGACTGAAATACTCAGTTTGTAAAAGTGACCTCATCTATAGCCTTTAACTTGTAAGTTTAAATATTTATGTAGAAAGTTTTTAGAAATTATGTTATTGCAATTAATGAAAGAATAGAATTTACTTTGTAAAAAAAATATAATTATGAGAACATTTGTCTTAAGTCACATGCAGCTAAGGGTTTTAAACTTGGTTGAGTGAAACTTAGGAGAGAGTTGTGTGGCCTGTGAATTGACATAGGGACCAAATCATTGTCTCTTCTTGTCTATTTAATAACTTTTTTTTTTTATTTTTAGAACCTAATCCACCAATTGATCAAGTTATACAGAAACCAGGAGTCGTACAGAGATTTGTGAAATTTCTTGAAAGAAATGAAAATTGTACTCTACAAGTGAGTCTAAAGTTTGCTTTCTTAATTTCTTTCCAGAAATGACCTATGATTAGAACTTCTAGTGAAAGCAGCTTACACAATACTAACTGTATTGTGAGCATTTAGTAAAGACTTGGCAATTAAAGGAATAGGCTGTGTGAACTGTCTTGCCTTGGGTGTGGTTGCAGTGCTGATTTTTTTCTGGGAATTGTTACTTTATTAAACAAGTTTGAAAAAATATATAAAATCTTTATTAATGTTAATAAAAATTTTATGGTTGTCAGCCTTCATGTTAAAATGTTAACATTTTAGTGATTAAGTTTATTTTGGTTCTTAGCTAAGAAGGGTTGTAACTTTTACTTACTAAAACATTTTTAGGTGATTGATTCGCTCCTTTTTTTGAAAAAGAATAAATTAGTATCTACTAAAAATGTGACTAAAGTTAGAGTTGCTTCAGTCAAGCTAAAGAACATTGCTTCTCAACCATGACACAGTTATAGTTTTAAGATATCCTTCAAATAATTTGCTCCTGATGGTAAATTACTAAAGTTTCCAAATATTTAAATGTTAATTAAAAGAAAGATTGCCTCCCTGACTTTTATTTCTATTTTTTAAGTAAGAGCACAAGGTGGAATTTTGTACTATTGGCAGTTGTACAGAGCAAACACTGTCAGTTACATCTGACTTATCAGTGCTATTGTTTGTAATGGAGGACTGTTATTCGAGTGATAGTTGTTGAATTTACAATTTTCAGTAATAATTCTTTAAATAATTTGAGAAATATTTTAAGTGTAAACAAAGCAATGTGTTGCACGTGTGAATGTGAAAAATTGTTGAAAATGTTTACAGTAAGAGTCTCTGAGGCAAAGACTACTTAATTCATGTTACAATTTTATTGTGAATTATTTAGAGCTAGAGATCAGGAGAATTAGTGCCTTTGCTTTATATAAACTCTTGCCTATACTAAAATCTGGGCCTCCTGGGCTACCTAGTTTGTTTTTTGGCTTTTTAATTCCAACTGAATGAAAGAAGATAGGAGTGAATATGGATATATAAAATTGAGTGCTAGTTTGAGCCAAACAGTATGTAAGTTATCATAGTTCTAAAATTAAGGTGTTATCCCTGTCTCCAGAAATTCTTTACTCTCTGCTGGGAAAGGTGGACATAAAAGAGGTCTGTGATAAACAAAGTGCTCTGAGAACACAGAGAATGTAGCAACTACTCTGGTAGAAGGGTGTCCAACCTGTGGCCCACAGTGAGGACTTTTTTTGCTTGTCTATGATGTGGGATATCATGAAGAGCATGTGTAGACCTTTTTTTTGAAGGTCTATGTGTATTAAAATGCTAATAGCTTTCATTAGTATTTATGTATTTAATGTGTGGCCCAAGACTACTCTTGTCCAATATGTGGCAAAATACGAAAAGGTTGGACACCCATGGATTAGGGAAAGTCGGAGACGACTTCACAGAAATAGTGTTGCAGGACCGCTGTTAAGGATGAAGGGGACTCTGGCAGACTGAAGAGAGGAAAATTACTATTAGATTGAGAGGGTAACATGTTCAGAGAGCACAGTGTTTCCGAGAACATTGGGAACTTGGGCATTTATTAATCACTATAATTAAAACCAGAAGAAATTCAACAGCGTGGCCTTGGGGTAGCTACATGTTGAGCTATGTTACCCAAGTGCATATAAAATATGCCAGTTAAGATGATTCATCTGTTTAATAGAGAGGCTTCAAACTGGGAGCCCATAGGCCAGATTGGCCTACAAGCAAATTTTATTTGTCCCACATATATTTTTAAAACGTGGGAATTAGATGCTGGACTTTTAAAAATTAGGGAAATTCAAATGAATGTCCAGATTTTTAGCTGCTTCTGACAAATCAGAAGATTTGGCATTGTTCCCAGGTAGTAAAGATGAAGTCAAGCTGAATAGGAGCTTTGCCCCCCATCCCTTTTTTAATTGGGAAGTTATTCTTTTAATTGTAGCCAGGCACTCCAGTTTTCCCACAATTCTCATTGACTTGTATTACTCACTTTAATTGTCTGATGGTAGGTTTGTGAATTTACCACTCTTATACTCTCTCCTAGGGATGCCAAGGGCAGTTTTGTAAACTTTTGATTGTCCTTTAGTTTCTTTCATTGTCTGCAATCAGTTAGCATTATGATCTCCAATATTTTTAATATTAATTCCTTCTCAATATGGACAAAGCAGAGCAACAAGAAAAATACATAAAATAAATTCCTTCTTTAAAATACTTCCCTAGTCTTACACATAATAGTAGCTGTAATTTTTAGTATTGTAATAATATTTTGGGGGCACATTTGTTATTACTCATAATGTCCCAATGTATGTAAAAAGTAGTGTATGTGAAATATTTTTTAGCTATAATTACTCTTAGACTGGCTGTAGATTTGTATGTTACTTTCAACTAGTTTATGCACTAGTTTATTACTTTTGAGCCATCGTCAAATTTTCTTAGTTGCTTCTGTTATAAATCCATAATGTTTATTTGAATGTAATTAATATTGGGTAACTTTTCAAAGGCTTTTCTTTTTAAAAGAATAGACCAGAAGTCCTAGTCTTAGGCTTGGTAATAATGAATGCTTAATGTTGAACAATACCTAGAAACTTCAACCTCTGATTTTCTTGTTTCTTAAAAGAGAAGGCTACTTGATTCTAAGGATAACTTTATGATTTTTAAGTCTCTGAACTATACTATTACTTTAATAAGTAGTATCTCTTCATTTTTGTTTTTAATTACTATGGGTAGATGAATGTTATGTATCTTTATTCTTGTTTATTTTTAAACTGCTTGTTTTAGAACAGTTGGCTCTCTAATAGTAAGTATTATGAATTTTGTGAATCATAAACTCAAATCTGTTTATATTCTGTTGATTTTGTAAATTTTCATTATATTCTTTCTCAGTTCTTACTTTTTGTATTTAAGAATGCTTTTTTTCCCTAAGGGTTTTCGTCTGTGAAATCTGACTTCACAGTGAATCTTACTAATTATGTCAGTCTTACTTTCAAACTTGTCCAGCTAAGTCTTTACTTCCTCTGTCCTTCCCTACTTCTCCTTTCTGACATTTCTTTGGTGCTTTCATTTATTTCACTTTTTCTTTTTAGTTTGAAGCTGCATGGGCATTGACTAATATAGCATCTGGAACTTTTCTGCATACCAAGGTAGTGATTGAAACTGGGGCTGTTCCAATTTTTATCAAACTTCTTAATTCTGAACATGAAGATGTTCAAGAACAGGTAAGTTTCTTATTTGTATTGTCATATTTAATGTAATTTTCTCTTGAAAGTACCATTTATTATGATTTGTAAGTCACTTTTGTGCTTGATTGCCTATATATTTCATTTATCACGATAGAGGAGTTTTTTTAGTATCAAATTAGAAGGGAAGAAGAATGAACTATTTCAGGCATAACCCTGGCTACTCTGTAAGAGTGAGCTCAGCTAGAGTAGAAATTACTGTTCTATTTACAAACAAGTACACTGAGACTCAGAAAAGTTAGTAGCAAAGCTAAAGTCACAGTAAATATCTGAACCAGCTTTTAAACTTTTGGCTGGTTTGACTACTTGTTCTGCATTTATGTATATGTATCTGGATTATTTTATTATTTCTTTATAAAATATCACACTGCTTTGAATCAAACCATTTTTTAATAAACTTCAATATAAGAGGGAAAATTTAATCACATATATGTGCAATCCAGAGAAAATTAAGTAGTTTGGTATTTTTATTTTGCATCATTTTTATATAAATTAATCTGTTAATTTCTCTACTATTCCATTCATTGTTTAGTTTTGTATCATTTTTTTTCCAGATAACACTGAATTGGTATTATTCTTTTAAGAAAATTATACTGATTTCTCAGTATCCACTCAGGTGTCTATCATAATTTGTTTTCTGTTCCTCAGTTGTATATTTCTAGTTTATTAGTACTATTAATACTGTTGTGATAAACATCATCATATATCATTAATCATTATGTGCCTCTTAATTATTGTTTAGGGAAAAAGATGAATGAATTAATTTTTTAAAGCTCTTAGTATGTATTTCATACTTGGCTTCCAAAAAAAATACACCAATTAATGTCCCTGCCAATAGAATATTGTACTTTACAGAGTAAAAAAAATGTTTAACGGTTTTTCTTAAAAAATAAAACATGGGGCGGTGCCTGTGGCTCAAGGAGTAGGGTTCCAGCCCCATATACTGGAGGTGGCAGGTTCAATCTTGGCCCTGGCCAAAAACTGAAAACAAAAAAAAATAGTCTACTGTAGCTATTGAAAATATTAAATCATATCATATTTTAAACATTAAATATAACTTTCCCAATTGAAAAATAACGTGTATACTTTTGTACTTACCTGAGAAATTTGAAATGAGAAAATAATAAAATGATAATTGTATTTGCATAATTTGTCATCTAATGAAACTTAATAAGTGAATAATTTGATTTTTTGCTACCGTGTATTTTGTTGTTGAGACAAGGCATCACATTTGCCTGGGGCAGAGGGCAGTGGCATCATCATAGCTTACCACAACCTCCAACTTGTAAGCCCAAGTGATCCTCCTGCCTCAGCCTCCTGAGTAGCTGGAAATACAGGCTTGTGCTACTATATTCAGCTAAGTTTTGTTTGTTTGTTTGTTTGTTTGTTTGTTTGGTAGAGATGAGATTTCACTATAGCCTGCCTGGGCTGTTCTTGAACTCCTGGTTTCAATGATTCTCCCTCCTCCTTCCAAAGTGGTAGGATTATATGCACCAGCCACTAAGGCTGCCAGTGCTACCATTTATTTTAACAATTATAATGAACTCCAACTAATCTTAAACTTATTTGTAAGGCCCACCCCACGCTAATTTTTGTATTAGCTATTAACTCATTTTTTCTGTGCTTTGTCTCTTTCTCTTCTTCTATTATAAATCCATCCCTTTGCACTGAATGGATTTCTTGGCATAGGAGCAAACCTCTAGTATTAGTACAGTCATGAGTCACTTAACAGGGATGTATTCTGAGAAATATGTTATCATGTGATTCATGTTTGTGTCAACATCATAAAGTATACTTTTGTATATATATAACCTACTACACACTCAGGCTGTATGGTATACCTTATACTAGGCTGCAGACCTATACAGCATGTTATTGTATGAATACCATAGGCAATTGTAACACAGTGGTAAGTATTTGTACATCTAAACACAAGAAAGATACAATAAAAATATGATATTATAATCTTATGGTATCATCATCATATGTGTGGTCTGTTGTTGACTAAAGTGTTATTATGTGGCATATGACTAATTGGAAAATTTGCTAAATATATTTCGTCTCTCCCTGTAGATACAGAGTAGAAAAATGATGTTGTTTGTTGAACATTATAGCTATTTTACTGTCATGCAAAAAACCTTTTAAAATACTCTGTTTTTCAATTTGATTAAAAATATTATTAAATAGCATTTTCAAAGTTTTTCTTTCTTAATGTCCTCCTTTTATTTTTTTCATGTTGCCAAAAACTATTCTTTGTTCATTTAATGCTAAAATCTCATTCTGAAAAGAAAACACTTTATTTAAGATAGATATTATCTTAATTTTTTTTCTTATTTTTCTAAGGCGGTTTGGGCACTTGGTAATATTGCAGGTGACAATGCAGAATGCAGAGATTTTGTATTGAATTGTGAAATACTTCCACCTCTTTTAGAGTGAGTACTTTCTTTAAATTTATCACAATTAAGTACATATCAAACTATATATACCACTATATTTCTGTATACACAATTAAGTTCTTCAATAAGTCTTTTAAATTTGGCTTGTGGTTAACTATGCCTTCAGTAGCGTGCAAGTAAGTAAAAGCAAGAGAAATTTTCAAATTGTATTTATTATTTTTTTATGTTCTCTTCAGCCATACTTAAGAGTACACCAGTCATTGTTTACTCAGTGCTTGCTGTGCTAATTCATTCTATAAAACAAGGATATTTAGTAGTATATAATACAATAAAATGTAAATGTTGCTGTAGCAGGGACTTATAGTTATTTAGTATGTTAGAAGGTTTTTATATTTGATTTTGAAATATTCAGAGAACAAAAATCCACTGAATGCAGTGGCCTGATCATAGTTCATTGTAACCTTGAATTTTTAAGCTCAAGCAATCTTCCTGCCTCAGTCTTCTGAGTAGCTGGGACTACAGCCAGGCGCTACCACACCTAGTTAGTTTTATTCTTACTTGTGGAGACCCAGTCTTGCTATGTTGCTCAGGATGAACCTGAACTCCTGGCCTTAAGCTAACCTCCCACTGCATCCTCCCAGTGTGCTGGCATTTCAAGTATGAGTCACCATGCCTGGCCTAATTCTATCAGTTTTTGCTTCATGTATTTTGAGGCAGTATAAGGTCGTATAAATTTATAAGTGTTACTATGTTCTTGATATATTGACTTTTTCTTTTTCTCTTAAAAATTTAACTAAAAGTGTATTTTATCTGATAGTAGAGTAACTACTCTGGCTCTCTGTTACTATTTACATAGAAATCTTTCCTATTATTTCACTTTCAGTTGACTTATGTCTTTAAATCTAAAATGAGTCTTTTATAGACATTATTGGATGGTCATAGTTTTTTATGCTTGGTTTTAAAATGTGTTCTACAAGTTACTGACTTTTTAAGAGTTTAATCCAGGTATCCTCAAACTATGGCCCGCGGGCCACATGCGGCCCACCAAGGACATTTATCCAGCCTGTCAGGTGTTTTTGCTGCTGCTGCCTATCCTGCTTAGCAGCTGACTCGTCTCGGGGCCTGCAGTCCAGCCCTCCAACGGTCTGAGGGACAGTGAACTTGTCCCTGTTTAAAAAGTTTGAGGACCCTGGGTTTAATCTATTTACATTTAGTGTAGTTGCTGATAAGGGAGGACTGACTTTTGCAATTTTTTTTTTCTCATATCTTTTTTACTTTATGTGTAATATTTCTTTTTCTATTTTTTTAAAGTTATTTTCTTAATAGTTACTCTATTCTGAGTTATACAATCAATATTTTAAACTTACAATCTTGTTTGAATTATTAGTAGTTTTGCTTTAAAATTGTACAAAAATTCTGCTACTATACATTTCTGTCCCACCTTAAAGTTGTTGCCACAAATTGTGTCATTATACATTGTGTGCCCATTACCATATATTTTTCCTTATTTTATGCATTTGCTATACATTTCTGTCCCAGTTTAAAGTTGTTCCCACAACTTGCATCATTATACATTGTGTGCTCATTACCATATATTTATAATTATTTTATGTGTTTGTCTTTTAAATCACATGAAGCAAAAGAAAAATTATTAACCAAAATATGTCATCATATTGCCTGTGATATTTACCTATATAGTTATCTTTCGCAGGATTTTTTTTTTAATTTCTTTGTATGGTCTCAGGGTATTGTCTGTTGCCCTTTCATTTCAGTGTAAGGGACTGCCTTTAGCCATTCTTGTAAAGCAGATCTGTTCGTGACAACCTTTTTCAGGTTTGTTGTTCTGGGCGTCTCTTACTTTCTCCTTCAGTTTTGAAGGGTAGTTTGCTAAATATAGATTTGGTTGACAGGTTTGTTTGTTCCTTTTAGCACTTTTAACACGTCGCCCCATTATTTTATCCTCCATGATTTTTGCTGAGAAATCAGACTTTGGTCTTAATGAGTGACACTATTGTCACTTCCCTCTTTTTGTTCTCAAGATTCTCTATTTGTCTTTGGACAATTTGATTATGTCTTGGTGTGTATCTCTGAGTTTACCCTACTTTGAGTTCATTTAGTTTCTTAGATGTATAGAGGTTTTTTTATTATTATATTTGAAAAGATTTTTAGCCATTATTTCTTCAGATTTTCTTTTGCCCCTTTTCTTCTCAGTCTTCCCTTATGTATACATGCTTAATCTTGTCCCACATTCATTTTTTATCCTTTCTGCTTCTCAGACTACATAACTTCAATGGACCCATCTTCAGGTTCATGAATCTTTCTTCCACCTTCTTAAATCTGCTATCAGAACTGCTCTAGTGATTTTTTTTTTTTTGAGACAGAGTCTCACTTTTGCCCTTGGTAGAGTGCTATGGCATCACAACTCACAGCAACTGCAAACTCCTGGGTTAAGGCGATCTTCTTGCCTCAACTTCCAAAGTAGCTGGGACTACAGGTGCCTGCCACAACACCCTGCTATTTTTTTAGAGACAAGGTCTTGCTCTTGCTCAGGCTGGGTTCAAACTCCCGAGTTCAGGCAATCTGTCTGCCTCAGCCTCACAGAGTGGTACAATTACAGGCATAAGCCACCGAGCCTGGCATGCTCTAGTGAATTTTTAATGTCAATTATTTTATGTTCGGCTCCATAATTTCTAGTTAGTTCCTTGTTATTATTTCTATCTCTGTATTTATAATTCTCTATTTGTCAAGACATTGTTCTCATAGTTTCCTTTGTCCTTGGGATTTTTAGTTTTTTTTAATGCATATTTCAGACAATGGATTTAACATTTTAGTGTAGTACATTGAATGCCTATGTTTTCAAAGGGACTTTTAAGTTATATATTTTAATCTTAATGGGCTACATTTTTTTTCTTTTTATATTCCTCATAATTTCTTATTACAAATGGGCATTTTTTATTATAACATGGCCACCATGGAAACAAGATTCTCCTCTTTCTCCAGCTTTTGATGTTGCTACTTGTAATTACAGTAGAACGTCTGTAAGTTGACCACCCAAGGGACTATAACAAACTGGTCAACACCAGGAACTGGGCCTACTATATTGATAGGTACATGTACTGTACTTTCTTGTATAGCTTTTGTTAGAGAATATACAAAATCATACATATCTAAACATAGTAAAATCATACATACAGTAATTTATAAAATCAATCCTGTTTTCTCATGGTTTAATCATTCTTTCTAAAGACAGAGTCAATCTGGTCTGTTTCTTATTCTTATTATAAATGTTAAGTGGAGAAAGCACTCTCAGTGCTGGCTACACCACTCAGCATACCTGGGCATTCTTCCACAGCAGATGATTTCAACTGCATTATCAGAGGTCTGACATCCTCTTTCGGAGTCTCTGCAATTTGCATGTCGTCTTCACGTACGTCTTCCCACTTCATCTACTGCTTCATGCACTTTTACTCTGGTCTATACTTTGGTCAATATTGCTCGGAAAATTGCTTCTTAGTCAGATCCATTACAGGTCACCACCTCATTTTCCATTGCAACAAACCCTTCAAAATCTGCTTCTGTGAATTTCCCATTGGGAGATGGACTGCCTGATGAGGCCAAACATCATGCTTTTGGGTTGTCACAAATCCAATTTTCTTTAAACACTCTATATTGTTTCCGGCTGAACTTTATTCCAGGCAGAACTGATTGAGAGGACAGCATCCAATTAACTGATAATGCAGATTAAGTTGCTTCCACAGATAGACCACCAGTTTGTGTTTTTAATAATGACCTCTATAGGAGCTCAATTCGGTAGTGCAATGTTTTGATGATGCCTTGGTCAAGGGGTTAGGTTTTTGAGATTGTATTTGGAGTCAGAAATTTCACTGTCACATCTGTGAAATAATTCACTTACAGAGGGCCAGGACAGTTGTCTACTAGCAGTAGAATAGACTATTTCTTCTTCTTTTCTTGGCTGATACCCTTATACACTCCCCAAGTAGGGCACCAGTCATCAATGTGCATTTGTTTGATCTCTTAGTCACAGGGTGATCTTCAGGCTTCAGGATCTTGAGTCCACATGACTTTGCAGATTTATGAATCATCAATTACTTTACTTTCTCTCTGGTTGAGCTAACACAAAGCAAAACTGTGAAATGTTCTTTGGTAAGTTTTCTGCTCTTACATTTTTCTCTTTTCATGATGAGTTCCCGTCAGGCATCGCCTTGAGAAAAAGTCCATACTCATTAGCATTAAACATGTTGTCAACTTTAAAGCCTCTGGTGAAGTCCAGGAACTTTTTGACTAACTTTTCTGCAACTTCTGCTGGAATGTCATTGGATTCACCACACAAGACTTTCTGGGAGATCTTATGCTACAATTTAAATTACTCAAGCCAACCACTTGATAGTCGGAAATCTGCCACCCTGAATTCCTGTGAAAATTTTTTAGCAAATTCTTGGATCACTGGCCTGGAGATTTGGGCACTACCTACCTTCATTTGTTTGAACCAGCTTAATGTGGCTTCATTGACTTCTGAAGGGAAGTTTTCTGCTTTAGGTGACCACTTTCCTTACCATCTGTCTTGCTCATGTTTCCTGTTTTTGGACATTGCTGAATACGGTGGTCTATGGACATTCTGCTATAACACCAAAATGTTCCACTGTTTTTCTTTGCTTATTACTTTCCAGAAAATGTAGAAGATCAACTTTTTTCTTTGACATCAGCTCTTTGAGTTCTTTTCTTTGGGTCATCATGTCTTGATGAACTGTAAAACTTCAGTAATTGCAGGATGTACCTATGGTTCATAATAGTCCTTCATGTTAAAAAAAACAAACAAACAGTCCTTCATGTTGAAAAAAACTTTAATAGTGTGTGATAAACAATAGGATGTTAGGCCTAATCCAACACATGGTAATAATAAAATATGAAAAAAGAGCTTACACTAAAGAAGAAAATGTGTAACAAAGGGGCAAAGGCCATGCCTTCTACCTGTTGGTGTAGAATGGACTCAAATGGTCAAGTTATGGAGGGTAAATTATTCTTGTGTGTGTCATATTCCAAGGGGTCAAGATACAACCTACAGAGGAGGTCCTTATATAAAGGTCAGTCTTTTATTGAATATATGTGGTATATGTCTCTTCTATGAAAATGGGGTCAACTTATTAAGCAGGTGGTCTATGGAGGTTCATTCCACTGTATTTGTTTAGGGACTTTTTTCAGTTAATTTTATAAAATCTGTCTTCTTTGTGGTTCCTTAAATTTCTGGGAGGCTGAGGCAGATGGATTGAGACCAGCCTAAGTCAAAGTGAGACCTCCTCTCTGAAAAAAAAAAACAAAAAAACAAAAACAGCCAAGTGTTTTGGTGGGTCCCTGTAGTCCCAGCTACTCTGGAGGCTGAGGTAAGGTAATCCCTTGAGCCCAAGAGTTTGAGGTTGCTGTGAGCTGTGACGCTACAGCACTCTACTGAGGGTGACAAAGTGAGACTCTGTCTCAAAAAAACAACCACCAAAAAACCCAAAATTTCTGGAGCCACAAAAAGGAGAATTCTCTAGGGCTTTTCAAATTGACTTTGTGTTGGACCCTCCCTTTAACCTGAGTCAGGCTGATGACAGCTATGACTGTTAGCACCCCCTGCTTGTGCTAAGCCTCAAGGTCAGCCAGAGGTGAAAGCTTAAGGCCTCCTCAAGTTTTTCTGATCACATACTCTGCCCTGTACATGGGCAAGTACATGGCTTTCTGGATTGTCTGATGTATGTGGGAACTTTTAAAATTCCTCACTTCCCATAGTATTTTACTCCCAGCTTTCTATCTACGCTTTAAGTGTGTCTCCTGGTTACCTCCACTATATCCTTTGCCCCAGGTTTCAACATCTTATTTATTTGCCTTTTAATACTTTTGAGGAATATTCTTTACAGAACCACTTTTCTACCTTGAGAGGGTTCCCAGTTAGGGAAAACAAAGGCAAGTGCCTTGCATCAGTTTTTGAGGGAGCCTCCAAACAGGTCCAAACAGATGAACGTAATTACTTTGAAATAAGATGTGCTCTGTTCCCTCTAGAACAGCAGTTCTCAACCTGTGGGTCATGATCCCTTTGTAACAATGAAAATACATCCTGCATATCAGATATTTACATTATGATTCATAACAGTAGCAAAATTGCAGTTATAAAGTAGCAACGAAAATAGTTTTATGGTTGGGGGTCACCATAACATGAGGAACGGTATTAAAGGGTCGTGACATTAGGAGGCATTAGGAAGGTTGAGAACCACTACTCTTGAACAAGGAACTCACAATGGAAATGCAGGCTGGCATCTTACAGGCTGCTGCCAGGCTGGGAAGGGAAGTAGGAAGGGTAAGTCATGCTAGCCCTTTCCTGGTTAAAAGTCCTCTTAGTTATGGGCAGCACCTGTGGCTCAAGGGAGTAGGGTGCTGGCCCCATGTGCCAGAGGTGGCAGGTTCAAACCCAGCCCTGGCCAAAAACTGCAAAAAAAAAAAAAAAAAAAAAAGTCCTCCTTAGTTAGTACAAACTTTTGACTATCTAGTTCTAGAGTTCCAGTTAAGTTGGGGGAAGATGGACCCTCAGTGTTCCCTTCTGTACCACTTTTGCTCTGTCACTCCAAGAAAGGGCTTTTTTTTTTTTTTTTAATGTAGGTTCTCTGTACTTCTAGCAAGGTCCTTAGGAAGTTAACAAACTCTTGAAATTGCATGCCAAAATATTGGTGTGTGCACTTTTTTCCTCAGGTAAAGATTTGTTATGGTTTGTTACAGGGTTCACAACTCTTTTAAAAAGGACTATTACTTTAGGGAATTAACTGTATAACTAAAACATAACCTACTATACTATGTTGTGAAAAAACTTTTAAGTAGTAACTCCTTAGGAGTCTGAGAAGAAAAAAAAATCTTATTTTAGACATTAAATTTCTTAGTAGCTAGCAGGGTTTATGCAAATCAGATAAAAGTGCTAAGACATACCATCTGTTAAAAACATGCTAAGACATACCATCTATTAAAAACAGAAAACTTCCCATGTTATAGGTGATTTTCATTTAATTTGACTCTGTATTCCTCGCTTTTTGTATTTGAATAATGTTTTATTTTTATGATTAAAACAAAGATAATCTAGTACTTTTTAAAATGTTTAGAGAAATAAGTAAATTTCCCATGATACTCTTTATCTTCAAAATGTTTTATGATTTAAGAATACATTCAGATCATAGATTCTAACTTTATTTACTTTAGGTTAATATGAGGATATAGATGATTAGGTTACATTGTAGATTCAAACTTCAGAAAATAGAACTGTAATATATTTATTTTTCTTTCTAAAAACTTAGTGAACTTTTAAGGCTCTTTTGTTTTACCAGTTTGAATATCTTATATACTATGTTGAAGAAAATTTTTATGTTATGATAGAAAATAGCTAAATAAGAAAAATAAATGTAAAGTGACAGTTCTTTTTCTTTTTCTTGGCAGGTTATTAAAAAATTCTAATAGACTTACAACAACAAGAAATGCTGTGTGGGCCCTGTCAAATTTATGTAGAGGCAAAAACCCTCCTCCAAACTTTAGTAAGGTATGATATAAAATATACAGATTCATAAATCTGTCTCCATAAATTTAAGTTTCTTTATGATAGATTTTTTTGAGGTTGAAGGGATTCTAATTTTTTGTTAATAATTGCATACTTCATTGACAAGACAATGTTTGCACATAAAATTTAAAAGATTTAAAGTTATAAAGGAAGTTTCCTTTTTGTTCTTCTTACTGCTTAAATTCTTGTGCCCAGAGACAACCACTATATCCAGATATTTTTGTATCTAGGAGTTGACTTACAAAATCAAGTTTAGTTGATTTAGTCTAGTTTATAGGAACTGAAAATCTCAGAAGATTAAGGTAATTCCTCAGGCCCACTGTTTGTGCTTTCCCATATTTCACTTAAAATATCTTTTTTCCATCTACTACCATTTGGCCTTTACAGAGATAGACTGATAATAAATTCCCAATTTAGTTCTGTTGCTTACCAATAAGATGCTATTAGAAAGACAGAACATGGGTAAATTTTTAGAATACCATTCTTCTTTTGAATTCATTGTCTATGAATTAAAGGGGCACAATGAACAATCACTGTAGCATTAAGAGAAGCTCAAAGTTTGGTAAAGATCTCTTGTATCCCTAGAAAAGTTTCTAGGGGTAAAAAATAATAAATTTCTAATTCAGTAGAGATAATGCATGAGTTAGCATGCCTTCTCATTTGTATTTTCACTATTCCAGTTTTAAGAAATCATTTTGCCACATAATCTAAACTGCAAGTGTGTCTTAAAAATCTCTTTGTACCATGTCTCTCTATCTGCTATCATATCTATGGCATATTGTGTATTTAGTCATAATTCATAAAATTTTCTCAACCTTCCATGCCTATTCTGTTTCATGTTTATTGAAAAGTACATCATGTAGTACAGCACCTGTGGCTCAAGGAGTAGTGTGCCGGCTCCATATTCTGGAGGTAGCAGGTTCAAACCCAGCCCTGGCCAAAAAAAAAAAAATACATAATGTAACTAAAAAGATGATGAAACATTATAAAATATGCTGATACTAAAATGAGGAACACAATTAAAATTTTAACCCAAAATTTGGCTTAGTAGATATGTATCTTAGAGAAAAAGAGTTTTGAGTGGTATACTTCATAGCCTCTCAATAGAAAAAATTATACAGTATTCATATTAAAAGTTATACATTATTATAACATAAATTATACATTATTCATTTTAAAAGTTATTTTGTATGATTTGCAGTTTGATAATAGAAGAGGAACAGATGATGTTTTAGTTACATTATGTGTATGTGTACATTACGTCTTTTTAATTACATTATTTGTTTGAATTAAGTATAATACCAGGAAAATAATGCTTCTAAGGTACACAGAGAGCCTCAGACAATCTTTTTAAAAGACATATGAGTATTATATGTTAAAACTAATAATTTGGCAATGACTGTTACACAGTTGAAGGGAAAACATATTTATATTTTGTGAGAGGAGATACAAGTAATAAATGGCAGTGTGTCTGATGATAAGTCTTTAAACTACTGTTCCTATGTTTAAACTTACACGTGTATAGAACTGGCTTCCTAAATGCAATCATAGCTTTAGTAATCACAGTAATTTCTTTATTTTGCCTGTTAGAATGTTATATGATACCATTTTTTAATTAAGTTTTTATTAAAAGAACCTTGGTTTATGCATTGCTTTTCCTATTGAAATTCTTTACTTTAAAAGGCACTTCTTTTGAGTGTTTGGTGTTCATTTTTTTCCCCACGTTTAAAATAGAGGGAATGCAGCTGTACATGTGTTTATGTTGAGGTATTAATTATGTAATAATAATTTTAGGGATGTAATTAGTTTAATATGCCATGTTTGATTTTTTTCATTTTTTTTCCTGCTTAGTAACAGTATTGAATTATTCTTAAGAAATATTTACAGTTCGAGATTTTTTTTTTTTTTTTTTTTTTGGCCAGGGCTGGGTTTGAACCCACCACTTCCAGCATATGAGGCCAGCATCCTACCCTTTTGAGCCACAGGCACCACCCACAGTTTGAGATTTTTTTTTCTAAATACATTTCATGGTTATTTATGAGTTCTTTAACCATAGACAAATAGTAAAGATTTTCTAGAACTTTGTAGTAATAAGCACCTTATATAAATAATTCATTTTTAAGTAAATTTTCTCGTATAGTTGATAGTGCCTTTGAAATTTATGTGATATGTTTTCCCTAAAGAATTTCCTTATTTGAAAGTTACTGAAATTTATAAAATTTATAACTTACAAAACTGGTAGTCTAAACCACATTTTTCTAAGCAAGCTTTTAAAGATACTTATTTTAAATGAAACATAACATCGAACATAAAAGACTTTGGAAAGTTATGTGGACCTTTAGAATTCATATAGTAATCTGAATTTAACAACAATTCATACTGATGCTCATTAATACACACTGACAGATAGCATAAAAAGGATTATTAATTAATAGGATATTTCTTATTTTGTTTTTTGTCCTCCTTCTTTCTTCTCCTTTATCCTCACTCTTAGCTTATGACCTTGCTTCCTACTTTATTGAGAAAATTGAAGCAATCAAAAGACAGCTTCCATAGTTTACCATTACCACCACATTTGCTATCATGTGGTTATTTATACCTACCTATTATACTTACTTGTCGTTGTTCATTATTTTTTCCCATGCTCCTTTATCAAGTTTGTTCCACCACTTATGCACGACATAGCCTTTTCTTTTTCTTATTTAGGGTCATCATGCCAACAATTTTTTTTTCTCTAGCAGTATTGTTTTCTTCATCTAAATCAATTCATTACTCTAAAAATATACTGTTACTTCTCCTGTCTTAATTCTTCTCTCACCTCAGTTTTCCTGTTAAGTAAAATTTATTTCTTTCCTTCCCTTGTAGCACAATTTATTATTTATCTATTCTTGCATTGTTCACTATCTTTCCTTACATTCTTTCTGGAATCCATTCCAGTGAGGATTTTTGCTCAGTCACTGCACTAAAAACTGATGTCATTAAGGGTATAAATATTTCCACATTGTGGAATCTAGAGGTCAATGTGTAGACCTCATACATGACCGAGTATGTCCAGTGGTTGATTCTCAGGTTTTATGTTACCTGATCTGCCTTCATTTGACACAATTTAATCATTCCCTCTTTCTATTTAAGAAAATTTGGGGCAAACAAAATATTCAGGTAGTGTGAAAGCATCACTCCACAAAGTATAGATGTTAATCACAAAGAGAGAGAGGGTAGGAAGCAGGTTTATTTACTGTCGAGAATTCTAGCAGACATTAACCACCTTATCCAAATAGCTCAATTTAACGTCAGTTATAAAGGAAAAACTGACGTTAGTGCTTTCAGATGTGATATGACTAAAAGGAACACATCACCACCTGTGTAAGACTCCTTCCTGCCAGAAATGTTTAACATTTAACAGTAAGTAAATTCAAATTTAGAGATGGTGTGCAAAATAAATGGCCTAAACTCTTTAAAAAAGTGTCATTATTAGGAAAGACCATAGCTAGTCTGGGGGAACTATTCAAAAGTAAAAGACTAAAGATACTACATACCTATTAAAATGGTTAAAATTTTAGAAGCTGAAGATACCAAATGCTAGTATGACTCAGAGCAATTGAAACTCTCATACATGGTTGATAAGAATGTTTTTCAAAATGGTACGGATACTGTAAACTATCTTACATTTTTGCTGTTAGGTACTTATTCAAGAGATATGAAATAGTATGTCTTTGGAAAGACGTGTAAGCAGATTTTTGTGACAGCTTTTTTCACAGTCACCAAAAACTGGGAATAGTTAAAATGTACATAAGTTGGTATGTGAATGAGAAAATTATGGTGCATGCATGTGATGGAATGCAGCTCAGCAATAAGGAACAGACTCCCGATACATGCAACGGCATGGATGAATCTCAGAAGCATTAAGCTAAATGAAAAAGTCATGCACAAACGCTACATCTTTAAAGACTCCATTTATGCAATATTTTGGAAAAGCCAAAACTATAGGAAGAAGAATCAGATCAGTGATTGCCTGAGGAGAGGAATTGATTACATGGAACAGAAGGGTATTTTAGGGGGTAATAAAAATATTCTATATTTTGATTGGAAGGTGGCTGTACAATTGTGTATATTTGCCAAAGTTCCCAGTTGAACTGTGTACCTAAAAAAGTATATTACTTAATGTATATTATTTATACCTCAATAAACTTATTCTTTTAGAAAAGACACTAAAGAGGAGATAATAACAAATAAGTGAAGTATTTAATCAGTTAGATCATGGATAAAAATTAATTTTTAGCTTAAAAATCTGAATATGCTCCATACCTTAGATGATATTATGTTAAATTTCCTGGGTGTCATAATGTGGTAGAAAAGCCCTTTTTATTAGGAGATAGGTGCTGAACTATTGAGGGGCAAAGTACTGTGATGCCTGCAAATGCTTCTCAAATGATCCAGTAAAAGAATACAGAGGGTGCCAAAATTATATTTACACATTTTAAGAAAGGGAAAAAAAGTGTTAAAGTTATAATACTGCTCAAGTTTGACTTCTGCAATCCCTGTGTGTGTGTGTATGGGGAGAGAGAAAACATGTAGCGAAATGTTAACAAGTGACGAATCTAGGTGAGTATCCTATGGGCATTTATTGTTCTGTTTTTGCAAATTTTCTGTAGGTTTGAATTTTTTCAAAATAATATATTGAGGAAGGAAATGCGTCTCTTAATACCACCTAGTTTCTACTACCTTCTGTTACTGCAGTAGACTCCTAACAAATCTTGCTTCTGTTTTCACCTACTCATCATTTTTCTTTTTCTGAGAAAGCAGACAGAATGATCCTGTTAAAATTGCTTTTCATACCATGTGTTTGTGTGGAATCCCGCAGTGGGTCCCTATATTTCATTCAAAATGAAAGATAACCTACAAGTTAAATAACCTACAAGAATTTTCACTATCTTCTTGGACCTTCTGTCATCTCTCAGACTCCATGTCTTACTGTTTTCTTTCTCTCACTCCAGCCGCACGGGCCTGCTTGCTGTTGCTCAGGTTCACCAAGTGTGGTTTTAGCATTGCTGTAGCTGTTCCCTCAACCTAGAACAAAGGTTCTTAAAATGTTTAGTCTCGAGACCTCTTTCTACTTTTAAAAACCATAAGTATCCAAATCTTGTATGTGATTTATATCTTATAGTACTTACTATATTAAAAATTAAAATTAATTCATTTTAAAATAATAAACCCATTATATTGTTAAATATCTTTTATACACAGTTGTGATTCTTATTTCTGACTCTATATTCAATCTGCTGTAATATGTTATTTTAGTTGAACTGTATGATTGTCTTTTTATATAATCATGGATTTATTTTATTTTTTGGGATTCATTGAGGGCACAGAGAACCGGGTTACACTGCTTGCATTTGTTAGGTAAAGTCTCTCTTATAATTGTGTCCCAACCCCAAAAGGTCACACCATGACTCCCCAACTCCCCTCTGTTCTTCCCTCTCTCTGCTCTTCCCTACCCTCACCCCCAATCATGAATATTTTTTGATATCACAACAAAAGTTGAGTGGCAGTTTCTTAAAGGTAGTTAAATTGATGAATCTGAAATCATATGTTGAATTTTTTGTATTCTGTTACATTAAAATCTATTAGTTTTGTTTACATTTTGAGTGGATCTTTTTCTCACATATGATTTTGTAATATTACATTATGCATACTGGCCATTTGGAAAATACAATTCCCAGAGTTATGCAGCTCTCCCTAATGTTGATACAATTCATTTACAATTATACAATTTTCAATTATTCAGTATTTTAAAAAATCACAATATTGCCATCAGGAAGTTTTCAATCTTAGCAATGGTAGGTGCAAGTTTTCCAAAATTTTTGAAATAACAAAATTTATCATTGGCAACAAATATAATTAGTTATTTTTGTTGAAATGATAGACTCTGTTTATATTTTTTAAAATGTACTCCAAATATCTTAAGACTGAGTAATGAATAGTATTCTAAGTAAAAATGGTGTTCCGTAAGGAAAAAAATGGCCAGTTCAACTTGCAGCTCAATCACAAGACTGCTTTTCCTGGAGACCACCCTAGTACTTTTGTGCACAGAAGTACTTTCTGCATATTTATTATTTCATCCCATAAAATATTTAAAAGACATGAACTGGAGAGTTTAGATTTAATAAAATTAGTAATTTTTACTCCCTACTTATGTTAATTCTTGAATAAAACTTGCTCCCCCTCTCCCAGCCCCCACTCTTCTAACTGGAGGTGATGAATACAAAGATATATAGTGAATTTTAGTACTAATGCCTTATTTGTGCTAAGGTGCCAACAGTTTATCCATCATTGTTTTTGTATCTTTAGTACCAATGTCAACACAATGAAAAAGACTAATTATGTCTTAGTATTATTTTGAACATAGTTTTGATATCACATGCCCCCCAGAAGGATTTCAGGAATCCCACAGGAGTCCAGGGAGCATACTTTGAGGGCCTCTGCCTTCTCATACTTTTTTACAGAGAGCTGCTTTACTGGTTGCCTTATCTCCATTGTTTGCTCAGAAGTCACCTTTTCCATGAGCTCTGACCACAGTATTTAATAATGTAATCTGTCAGTGCCCCAAGCCTGTCACCCTCATTTCACTCCAGTTTTTCCAAATACCTTTTAATATAATATGTTTTGCTTCTTTAGTAAGTCTATTACTTTTGGAAATCTTCCACTGAAATATGAACTCCTTAGAGGCAGGAATGTTTGCCTCTTGGGTTTATTTATTTATATATTCCAAACTAATGAAATTAATAGCACATGTTAGGGCTTAAGATTTACTTGTTACAATTTATATGATTTCTTTTGAAAGACTTTGTTTAATCTGCCTTTTTTGAAATTTATATTTCCACAATCATATTTTGTGTTTTCAAGAGTTATTTTTTTTGTTCCCTGGTTGCTCATCTTTATATAGAATTCTGTTCTTTTATGGACATTGCAAATTGTCATACCTAGCTGAGGATTTTAGTTTTGGTGAAGATTTTTTCTTTTTCTGGTGTCTGTAGTTCTTTGTGTTTTTTTGTTTTGTTTATGGTTTGGTCTTTGTATTAGTCACTTTCTTGCTGGAGATTATCGTCATTTATCTGATGATCCTTGGCTCTTCAGATTTAGGAAAGAGGTATCAAAAAGCTAATTAGAAGATGGGTGTATGGGCTTATTATCTCCTGGCCTCACTGTATGGAAATTGGGCAGCAAAACTATATTTTCTTTGAGAAACTCCGAATTTAAGTCTCTTTTCTGAGACATTCTGATTTTGCTGAGACATTTGTTTTTTCCTGAGACAGAGTTTCTATTTGTCTGCAGGAAGGTGGGTGGATTGGGTTTGCATATAAATTAGTTAACACACCTGGTTACTGGAGATCTGGAAACTGTGCACTGGAAGAGGGATAGAGGTTTTTACCAATCAGTAGGCAGACTTTGCTCTCTAAGTTTCCAGTCCAGTGCTATATTTCAGCCCCAGTTAGGCCATGGTCCATGATCATTATGTTAAAACACGTGATTCTGAAGCATTTGGACCTTAGTTTTGGTATGCCTTTTTTTGTGGGATGTGTATGATTTGGACATAGACAGGAGAGCCCAAATATATATTTCATTATTTAAAAAAAAAAAAAACTTTACTACTGAATCTAAAATTAACAGGAATCATAATCAGTTTCATGCTTATCTATCTGATCATAATTTTAAAATAATAGAATAATTTTTCTTATTTTCATAACATTAAGTTTACTTTAAGATGAATTTCTATATTTTCCTAAGGAAATTTGGCTATAAATAGAGAAAAATTTAAATATTGGCTTTTTCTTCCCTTTCAGGTTTCACCTTGTTTAAATGTTCTGTCACGATTATTGTTTAGCAGTGACCCAGATGTGTTAGCAGATGTGTGTTGGGCCCTCTCTTATCTCTCCGATGGACCCAATGATAAAATTCAAGCAGTCATTGATTCTGGAGTGTGTCGAAGATTGGTGGAACTTTTGATGTAACTAATTTATATTTAATAATTATATGATTGTTTATTAAGTTTAGCAATTAAAGTAATGACCTTGTACATATCTTAATAATCACTATCAACAGGAAGAATTAAAAAGCTACCAACCCAACACTTAACAGAATAATTAATACTCTAAAATGTTGACATTTAAACTAATACTGGGATACAAACGTGTATTTGGGATAAGTTACTTTGTAAATGACCTTTCTTAGTCTAATGTGCTCTCTTTGTGAATGAGGAAGGTTAAATTCAACAAATATTTATGGAATGCCTGTTACCTGCTGTTGTGCAATACATTGTTAATGAAGTATAGAACCAAATTCCTGCTCTCAGGGAACCCATAATCTAGTTTATTATGCATTATAATGATTAAGAAGAGTAAAAGTATTTCAGTTGTTTTAAAGATAGTATGTTTCTTTTTGCTGAGCTGTTACACTTATTTTCTTTAAAAAGAACAGCTTTTTTATACGAAGGTATTAAAAACTTCTAAGAAAATTTGTTTTAAGAAAATTTGTTACTGTGCTGGCTGGGCACAGTATCCTACCTAGCCCTGTAATCCTAGCACTCTGACAGGCCAAAGTGGGATGATTGTTGGAGCTCAGGAGTTTGAGACCAGCCTGAGCAAGAGTGTGACCCCCATTTTCTACAAAAAATAGAAAAAATTAGCCAGGCCTGGTGGCACATGCCTGTTGTCTCAACTACTTAGGAGGCTGAGCTAGGAGGATGGCTTGAGCTCAGGATTTTAAGGTTGCAGTGAACTATGATGACGTCACTGCACTCAAGGTGACAGAGTGAGACTCTATTTCAAAAACGAAAAGTTATTGCTTCTTTATCCTCTTAACCTTCTTTTAAAAAATGTGTTATTTTCCTCTCTTCTGTCAAAAAGCCATTAGATAGGCGGTAGATGGCACAAAGAAGAGAGGTCTGACAATATCAGGAAGGTGGGCAGGCAGGTCCATTGGTGAGATCAGGGGCTGAGCTTGAGAGTGGCACTTACAGAGTTAGCATACAAGCAGGCTAGAGTGAGGCATGGAGCTAATACATCATGGGGTAGCAGCCTAGCTGGGCTGGCAGATTGGCCATTATAGAAAATTAGGAAAGTACAAGCTACTTCTTGTTACCATAGAATGGAGATAATAAATATGGAAGAAGAGAAAGCCTGAATAATTCTGTGATTTTAGATTAGAATAGAAATCTCACTGTGCACTCATGGCTCTTAACAAAGATAGGTGTAGAAATATATATATGTATATGTACACATACACACACACACTAGAAACTCCATAGTTGACTACCTCCCTACATTGACTTCCTCAAGTCGACCCTAATTTTCATAGACCAGACATGTACTACATGTATGTATCAGTTGAGTAGTTCTAGTTCCTTTTGTTGACCACCTCTTTATATGGGTCAACATATATGTAAATATATGTGTGTCCTCTTAAAGAACTTGGGAACAACAGTAACACTTTTATAGTAGTAAGCTGAGAGCACTGAATGCCTAAATCTAAGTTTTTAAACACCACTGTCTATTGAAAGGAACCAGGGTTCTTGGAGAAATGACCAATTCCAGGGCTGGCACTTGAGGAAAAAGCATGACTGTGGAAAGTAGTAAGTGCTCAAAGAATGGATAACTGTCAACAGGACACAGAAGCTCACTTGAAGGGGCTCTCCTTGTCCAAACGTTGGATAATTTGAACTTTGAAATGGATTATTTTAATGTATAATTTATTGAATAAAATGGGAAACCCATGAGTCCACATAAAAGCGGATGGCTGTAAGATATGTACTTCGAATGATAATATTAGAAAAGCATTGATAATAATACTACTAATTACTAGCAATGCTAAAACTAGTGGTAAAGGTAGATTAAGGAATAGCATTTTACATAGTCTCAAAGTATCTCCTCACAAAATGTTAATTCTAAAGAGAAAAACGGTAGGGTGGAAAAGTCTGGCAGGCACCACCTTAATTAGTGACCAGAGTTCAGCACCACTATAATGGGACACAATAGACACACCATGTCATGCAATAGAATGTAAAGAAAAGATTATAGCATTTGTGACATTGCATCCAAGAATATGTAACCTTGGTTATAATCATGAAGAAACTCTGGGTAAACCAAATAACTGACTTATGATCTCCAAAAACATCAAAGTCATGAAAATCAAGGGAAGACTGAGAAACTATTCTGGGTTGAAAGGGACATGAATAATTCATGATCCTGAATTCTCTGTTATAAAGATATTACTGGAATAATCACTGAAATTTGATTGAAATCTCAGGGTAAAAAGTATATGAGAGTTTTTGGTGCTATTTTTGCAAATTTTAAATTCTTATTAGTATATAAATTCCTATCTTTATTATTTTCAGGCACAATGATTACAAAGTTGTATCACCTGCCTTACGGGCAGTTGGTAATATTGTGACTGGTGATGATATTCAGACACAGGTGAGTTCAGACTTTAAAGTGATAAGCTGTTAACATAATAGACTTTAAGATATTTATTATGTTTCATATCACAACATACTGTGTTTCAGATGTATTAAGACTTTAGTGTTATTGTGATTATATTGCCATCCATATTCTGACAGTGTATTATTGATAACAAGTGGTCAACCTCAGATACTTCTGTAGGAAAGTACTGTTCTAGATCTGTGTGAATGCAAGGAAGTGTAAGAAATGGGCTCTGTTCTTGAGGGGTTTATAATTTAATTATGGAAAAAATACAGGAGGACCTCCGTAGTTGATTGCCTTCCTAAGTTGACTCAGTTTTTATAGATATATCATGTACCACATGTATATATCAATACAGTGGGCCTACTTCCTTAGATTGACCATCTCTGTATGTTGACCAGTTTGTTACAGTCCTTTGGGTGTCAACTTACAGAGGTTCTACTGTATATACAGGGTGTCTGTAAAGTTCGTGTGCAATTTAAAACCCTGTATATAAACAAAGCAGTTTAGCCTAAGTAGTATATGTTTTCTGTAAATTGATGAGTCACTAAATGCTAAAAAGTTTAATAAAAGAGATCAATATGCTAAGAAATCTGTGTAGTTTCCATAAGGGATTGGAACTAAAGCTAAACATTAAAAATACAAAATTACTTAATTAGACCAGAAAAGATTTATGTGATCATAGGTACAGAGGCAGACATGCGTTAAAATTGACTATCATAGAAACTGTCAGTAGAGAACATGATTGACTGTTAGAAGAGAGGTTGGAAATGAGAGGCACTTTTAAACCAGATTGAAGAACCGGATTATAAGAGTGGAAGGAAGGATGGCGAGGAAACATTCCTAGGGTTGTTCATTAACAACTCACATATGTGAGTTTGTATCTTGAAAGATGGTGGGATGTCTAAAAGTGGGATGTCAAGATTGACTACAGATTTGGGGTATAATCTCTCTTGAAGATAGAAACTTAAACTCTGTAACCCATTAGATTCTCCTGTGTTTGCCACCTAAAAGTGTATTTTTTATTTTAAACAACATATTTTCTTTTAGTTTTAATAATTTTTAAAGTCCTATTTAGATATATACCAAAGTTATTAAAAAGTCAATCTTTGGGACAGCGCCTGTGGCTCAGTGGGTTGGACGCCGGCCCCATATACTGAGGGTGGTGGGTTCAAACATGGCCCCGGCCAACTGCAACAAAAAAATAGCCAGGCGTTGTGGCAGGCGCCTATAGTGCCAGCTACTTGGGAGCCTGAGGCAAGAGAATCACTTAAGCCCAGGAGTTGGAGGTTGCTGTGAGCAGTGTGACACCATGCCACCCTACTGAGGGTGATAAAGTGAGACTCTGTCTCTACCAAAAAAAAAAGTAAATCTTTGTTAATTAGTAATTACTCATTTAAAATAGCTTGAAAATGCCTTTCTAAACATGAAACTATATTTTTCAGCTCAATTTACATTCTTCACCAGTAAATTAAATGTAAATCATTGGGGTATTTTGAATATAGGAAAGTAATCTTGAAGTGGAATAAATGTAAAGAGACAAAGCACAATATACCTCCTTACAAAAAAAAATGAGGAAACATTTTTATAAAATAGACTTATTCTATTTTCCTATTCAAGGTTTCCTAATGGTTGTAGAATTTTTTACTAATTCATTTGGCAAAACTAGAAATTGGATACTGACCTCAGCCACCAAATCCTTATTCAAGTAATTATATCAGTTGAACTCTGAGTATGTTTGTAAATTCAGAGGACACACCTATGATTTGCATTTTAGTGAGTTGAGAAGAGGGTACTGGCATGAGACAAGTTTTGGCAATAGCTAGATAGTAAAAGTGTTTTAAGTTTTAACTTGAGAGGAATTTCTCTTAATTTCATTTTTCAGAATGGTTTTTGTACTTTTAAATAATTCATTAGTAGATTTTTGTGTATATTTTTTGCTGAAACTTTTTGTTTCCATTTCTAACTTGTTTTAGGTAATTTTGAATTGTTCTGCATTACCCTGTCTCTTACATTTATTGAGTAGCCCAAAAGAGTCAATTAGAAAAGAAGCTTGCTGGACAGTTTCTAACATCACTGCTGGAAACAGAGCTCAGATTCAGGTAAATATGCTTCGGATCTGAGAATAGGACAGAAAGTTCTAAGAAGCCAGTTTAGACAAAAGTCAACATTTTATCAGTGGTTGTTTTTAGTGAGTTACTGAATAAGATTCTTAAAAAAGATTGTTGAAAAGTATTTTTAAAACCATGGCCTTTTCTTCTCTAAAATGATGACATTTACTGACAGTAGTCGCATATTCTATTGAGGAATAGCTTCTGTATGCAGAGGGTGCCAAAAAAAGGTGTACACATTTAAGAAAGGAAAAAATCGGTATTGAAATTGTAATAGTCAATATATACTGATAACAGAAGATGAATACAAGTCGTGTTGCGCACCTCTTGTAATTGCAGATGTCATATGTGACTTGAATATTACAAATTTAATGCCTTTTAGAACCGGGCGCTGTGGCTCACTCCCAGTACTGTCTGGAGGCTGAGGCAGGAGGATTGCTTGAGCTCAGGAGTTCCAGACTTGTCTGAGTGAGAGTGAAACACCAACTCTTGAAAATAATGGAAAACCCAGCTGGGTGCTGCAGCGAGCGCCTATAATCCCAGCAGCTTTGGAGGCTGAGGCAGGAGGATGCCCACAGCCCAAGTCTGAGGTTGCAGTGAGCTACGATGCCATTACACTCTGCTCGGGGCATAGGATAGAACTCTGTCTCGACAGAAAAAAAACAAGGCAATTGTGCGCATGTGCTCATCCCAACCCCCAAATCCCCTTAAAACAAAACGTGCCTTTTACAGTCCCTAACACATAATGCTTAGTCTTTAGAAGGAATTATTTTTCATTAGTTTTAAACAAGTTAGGGAGTGATCTTTTCAAAGTTTTTAACTATTTATTAGGGTCCTGTCAAGCTCCTTGTGTCAATGATTACTTATTCATTTTGATACATTGTGCTTTATCATCTCTGAAATTTATATTGTCTTATTATTTTCTCCCAGTCTTTAAAAAGCTAATTTCCTTTTTAAAAAGCAAGATGTTAATGTTTGTTGAAAAAATTAGAAATAAAACACTTGCAAAGATATTTCCAAAAACCCTGACATTTTAAAGCCAGTGGTTTTGAAGACTCCTCTGCTTGGTAGAAACAGTGTTTGTACTGATTATGCTATGTATCGTTTTTGCCCTCTCAGGCAGTTATAGATGCAAATATTTTTCCTGTTTTGATTGAGATTCTTCAGAAAGCAGAGTTTCGCACCAGAAAAGAAGCAGCTTGGGCTATAACTAATGCAACATCAGGAGGCACTCCGGAGCAGATAAGGTGTGATACAGATTTTTTTATTAATTATTTTTTTAAATGCAAATCAGACATTAGAAATAAAACATACTATTTATTTATTGATGAAGCTAAAACAGTATTTCTAAGCCAGTTTGAGAAGCATTTTTAGTATGAAATGACAGTATTTGTTATATCAGGTATAGCATTTATTTATAATGTTTTTTAAATTTAAATTACAATTAATGTCATTATCATTGCCTGGCTATTTACAAAAAAATCAGAGATTAAAAATGTGACTAAGAATAATTTATTAATTTAAATGTACACTATCATGAGCATGAGATTTTTTTGAACCATTAAAATTACAAAAATGTAGCTTTATTATGTAGAAATGGCTAATAAATTTGAATATCTAGTTATTTTAAATAACATTGAAGGAAACATTTGTTTATATAGTGATGATCTATTCCTCATTGGTTGTCAGCCTTTCCTGTGCATAGTATTTTACTTTTGTTTTTCTGCTAGTTAACTTTTTTTCTTTTTCACATTAACTATAGGCGTTTATCAGTTGTTTGTTTTACTGACAGCATAAATAGTAGGTATATAGGCTTTTATGTTAGTCTGGACAAATCTTGCTCCTGCAGTAAAAGTTGTGTGGTCTTAACGAAGTCATTTAACCTGTTTTATACAGTTTCTTCATTTTTTAAAATGAGTTCAAAGAGACAGTACCTTATGGTAGTATAGTCCACTGTCCATATCCTGTGGTTCCATATCTGTGGATTCAATCAACTGCAGATCAAAAGTGCTAAAACCCATCATAAAATAATAGTACAACAATAAAAGTAATACATTAAAAAAAATAAGAATACAAGGTCTGACAATTAAGTTCTCAAACTCATCCTAGAAAAAGTGCTACATACTTCATTGCTGATTATCACTAAGGTCACCTTCAGAGTACATCCCTTGGGAAGCTATGCACCGAAGCCATCACCTAATTCTTCAAAGCAATTTTGGAAATCTTTTTCTGGAATGGCCATTAGAGCTGTCGTCATGATACCCTTGATGTCCTGAATATCATCAAAATGTCTTCCTTTCAATATTTCCTTTATCTTCAGGTAAAGAAAAAGTCATTGGGAGCCATATTAGGTGAGTAGGGAAAGGTGTTCCAATACAGTTATTTACTGGCTAAAAACTCCTTCACAGACAGTGCCGTTTGAGCTGGTGTATTGTCGTGATGCAAGAGACACATTTTTCTCCTGCCAAGATCTTCAGTAAAGATTTTCCTGTTTCTCTATGAATGCTTACTTGGTATGCTATGCTTCTCATAATCAGCTGATGATTTTGACACACAATTTGATGGATTTTTACAATGTTTTCATCAGTTCTGTTCATTACTGACAACTTTAACCTTTTTTTATCAATGAAGCTTTCTCTCCCTTCAGAAAAAACATTTAGTCCATTTGTACACCACAGTTTTTTTTATAGCATTAACCCTATAATCTTGGACTTGATGTCCCATGATTTCAGTTCTACTCTTGCCAAGTTTAACAAGAAATCTAATCTTTGTTCATTGCTTTAATTCAAGGTACAACATTCTTGCAATGGCATCCTAAAACATGCAACAAGTAATGAATCCCACTAGGCAAGACACCATCACACATCAACACAAAACACAGCTATAAGACACTGATATACCCAGGTTATGAAACCTTCCTGAGTTGTTTGTACAGTGCTGCTAACATAAGTGTACAGTGGCAAGTTCACAAACTTAATTGTCTGACTTCGTATGTATTTAAAGTGTTCAGCCTAGTGCCTATGCATATTAAATTTTCAACTAAAGATAGCTATTGTTATCCTTTGTAATCATCATAATTTTTATTATCTATATTGATTTCTAAATCTCTAATTCTAACATGTGCCTTTACCCTGTTTATCTCCTGTAGCAAAGTTTGACATGGCACCTCTATAAAAGCCTAACTTCCTACAGAATCTTCTTGTTCTGAGGATTCCTTTGTGGTTTTAGATTTCTTGAAGTGACTATTTAGAAAATATTTTCTAATAAATATTTTATTTTTTTTATTTTATAAAACAAGAAGTCAAAATACAATGCTACTTTACAAATTAATTATATTATTTTGAAATCTACCTATTATGAGATTATTGTCTTTATTGCCTTCATTTGTACTATTATTTTTCTCTTAAATTTATCTCTGCATGTTAATAATATCTTTTCCTGGTTTTATTTTCCATTCCACTTTTTTGCTTTCATTAATACTTCCATTTCATTTCTGTCATGGATGTAAGCAGAATAAACAAGATTTTTCCTTTGTTTCTATTTTATATTTTTAATGCTATTATTATTACTTTTATCTACTTTGAACTGAAAGTTACTTGTAAACAGTTGTGTTTTTTTAATCTATTTTAGTGATTATATCTATTGCATATATTATTTCTTAATCTTATTAGTGTGGATCAAGTACCCAAATTGAAATGATTTTTTCTAACCATTCTCACTATTTTATTACCTCTACATATTTGGGAAGAAAACTTCAGTCTCAGATTAGGTTCTGTATGCATACCACTCCTACTTGCTGAATGCTTACTCTTGCCAGTTGTGCTAAGTAAATTACTAAGCACCAGAAATGTATCAGGTACTTTAACCTATTTCATAATATTTCCTTTAACCTCATAACTGAAATAGTGACTCATGCAACAAATGTATTTGATCAGTTATGGTATGGTATATGGCAAGTGAGTACTGCACTCAGGGGTTGTACATTTTTTTGAAAGGGATAGGAATATTTATTAAATGCCTGTTATGTTTTCACGACAGCCCTCTAAAGTTGGTACTATCATTATCCCCATTTTAAGAAGGGGAAACTGAGACAAAGCAATTGCTCAAGGTCACACAATAAGGAGTAGAATTGAGACATAAAAGCATATGGTCTGGCCTCAGAGCAGGTGTCTACCTTTTGTCCTTAATACAGACCTATTGCCCAGTGAACATATCAGTTATGTCACTTTTACAGACTGGAAAAGCAGCTCATAACAACTAAAAAAAGACATATTAGGAAATGAATGAAATATTTTTTGTGAGCATTATTTTTGTGAAAATTATTCACAAGATAGCCTGCTTTGTTCCTAGAGGCTTCTGTGCTTCTGCAACTCAGCTTTATGTTTCAGAACATTAGCTATGATTGTTTTTGTGAGAAATTTCTTAAACTTTAAGTGTCCCTTCTCTTTTCCTCCTAATTTCTGCCTCTGTATGTGTGAATATAGGCTCTCCTTAAAAAAAAAAACAAAAACCTTTTAACCCATTACTCTTAATGTTTGTATACCATACATAAACAAGCCCAAGTACCACTTTGCTTGTATGTGTATGTCGTAGTATTTTCAATACCATTTATTCCTAATTGTGTTAAAATTTAGAAAAAAGGAAAGAAGGCTTTCACATTCTTATGTAAGTAAAAATTTAATTTTTTTTAATATTTGAGTTTGTATAGGAATATTTTTCTTAATTACTTATGTAACATTTCACTGTGAAGAATATTTTTCATGCCTTGTTATAAACATTATTTAAGTCTTTTAAAGTCTTTTTTCTTCCCATTTCTCTTTTATAATCACTCTGAAGGTATTTGGTAGCTTTGGGCTGCATTAAACCACTTTGTGACCTTTTGACTGTTATGGACTCCAAAATAGTTCAAGTGGCTTTAAATGGACTTGAAAATATTTTACGTCTTGGAGAACAGGAATCTAAGCAGAATGGAATAGGCATTAATCCATACTGTGCTCTCATCGAAGAAGCATATGGTAAGCAATCAGTTAAAAATTTGTAATTATACTAAATTCATAATTACCTGTTATAGGTGTTTTCCTCTTCAATTCCATAAATATCTTTGGATGTAAAAGCAGTATATTTTTTAAGAATTTTTAAATTTTACTCATAATTTTATTACCCTAAAAATGTATGTATATTATTTTCCTTTGTTTTTATGTTGTCCTTATGCACGGATACTTTACATTGATTTAATTATATGTATAGGGTTGTGTTCTGCTTTTTAACATGATGGAGAAATTTCACGTTTCTGCATAATTTTATAATACACACGTAATGTTATATGGAGTGCAGTTTTAGCTGTTTGAGCACAGATTTAACCATATACCTGTTGTTGACCTTTGACTTGTTTTGGTTTATTTATTGCTTGATATAGCCAAAATAACCATCTTACTGCATATAAATTTGTTCCTTCTATAGAATTAATATCTTGGGATAAAATTTATGGAATTTATTTAGGAGTATTAGGCACAAGATTTTTTTTTTTTTTTAATTGTTGGGGATGATTCATTGAGGGTACAGAGAACCAGGTTACACTGACTGCATTTGTTAAGTAAGTAATTGTGTCCTTTCTCCAGGAGGTATGCCACACACCATGGCCCCCCAGCCCCCTCCCTACTTACTTTTCTTTGCTCCCCCATTCCCCCACCCTTCATGTACTAGGTCATCTATTATCCTCATATCAGAATTGAGTACATTGGATTTTTGCTTCTCCATTTTTGTGATGCTTTACTAAGAAGAATGTGTTTCATAGCCGGGCATTGTGGCAGGTGCCTGTAGTCCCAGTTGCTGGGAGACTGAAGCAAGAGAATCCCTTAAGCCCAAGAGGCTCAGGTTGCTGTGAGCTCTGACTCCATGGCACTCTACCTACAGGATGACAGCTTGAGACTCTGTCTCAAAAAAAATGAAGAATGTATTTCAACTCCAACCTGCTTAATAAAAAAGATGTAAAGTCTTCATCATTTTTAGTGGCTGAATAGTGTTCCATAGTATACATATATCACAATTTGTTAATTCTTTCCTGGATTGGTGGGCATTTAGGTTGTTTCCATAGTTTGGCAATTGTAAATTGAGCTGCAGTAAACAGTCTAGTGTAAATGTCCTTATGATAGAAGGATTTTTTTTCTTATGAGTAGATGCCCAGTAATGGGATTTCAGGATTAAATGGGAGGTCTAGTTTAAGTTCTTTGAGGATTCTCCATACTTCCTTCCAAAAAGGTTGTATTCATTTGCAGTCCTACCAGCAGTAGAAAAGCGTTCCTTTCTCTTAACATCCATGCCAGTATCTACAACTTTGAGATTTTGTGATGTGGGCCATTCTCACTATTGTTAGGTGATATCTCACGGTGGTTTTGATTTGCATTTCTCTTATAATTAGGGGTGAGGAGCATTTTTTCATGTTTGTTAGCCATTAGTCTATATTCTTTAGAGAATGTTCTATTCATTGATATAAGGGATTGTTGGCTTTTTAAATATTGATTAATTTGAGTTCTCGAGGCACAAGATTTTTTTAAGTTTTGTTATGTCTTCTCATTTTGCTTTCCCAAGGCCTATGGCTCCACATTGTCACTGGCACCATATGAATCTGTTCCACCGCCTCATACTTGTTTTGGTGATTTTGATGATTTAGCAGATGTAAGATGATATCACCAGGATGCTTTTATGTGCCTTTCTTGGTTTATTTCATATAGAGGGAGGTGTGTATTGTCTATATGTTAATGTACTTCCTCATCCAAATTGCGTATTTATTTTACTTTGTCTACTT